TTCAAATGACATGGTGCGTTAGGATCGTATTGACCCCCTGCATCGATCTGCATCAAAAAAATATGGGCTATTACCCGAGATATTAAAAAAAAATCATCGAAAAAGTTTCGACTCTCGCACCGACCTCGATTTAAAAAAAAAAAAGTGATGATTTGGAAGGTCATATCATATCCGCGGGGAGTTATGTCGTTTTGGAACGTCATATCTCCCCGCGGAGCTATGTCGTTTTGGAACGTCATATCTCCCCGCGGAGTAATGTCGTTTTGGAACGTCATATCTCCCCGCGGAGATATGTCGTTTTGGAACGTCATATCTCCCCACGGAGTTATGTCGTTTTGGAACGTCATATCTTCCGCGGAGTTATGTCGTTTTAGAACGTCATATCTCCGCGCGGAGTTATGTTATGAGATTTAAAAAAAAAATCATCGAAAAAGTTTCGATTTTCGCACCGACCTCGATTTAAAAGAAAAAAAACGTGATGATTTGGAAGGTCATATCATATCCCGCGGGGAGTTATGTCGTTTTGGAACGTCATATCTCCCCGCGGAGCTATGTCGTTTTAGAACGTCATATCTCCGCGCGGAGTTTTGTCGTTTTGGAACGTCGTATCTCCCCGCTGAGTTATGTCGTTTTGGAACGTCATATCTCCCCGCTGAGTTATGTCGTTTTGGAACGTCATATCTCCCCGCCGAGTTATATCGTTTTGGAACGTCATATCTCCCCGCGGAGTTATGTCGTTTTAGAACGTCATATCTCCGCGCGGAGTTATGTAGTTTGGGAACGTCATATCTCCCCGCGGAGTTATGTCGTTTTGAAACGTCATATCTCCCCGCGGAGTTATGTCGTTCTGGAACGTCATATCTCCCCGCGGAGTTATGTCGTTTTGGAACGTCATATCTCCCCGCGGAGCTATGTCGTTTTAGAACGTCATATCTCCGCGCGGAGTTATGTCGTTTTGGAACGTCATATCTCCCCGCGGAGTTATGTCGTTTTGGAACGTCATATCTCCCCGCGGAGTTATGTCGTTTTGGAACGTCATATCTCCCCGCGGAGTTATATCGTTTTGGAACGTCATATCTCCCCGCGGAGTTATGTCGTTTTAGAACGTCATATCTCCGCGCGGAGTTATGTAGTTTTGGAACGTCATATCTCCCCGCGGAGTTATGTCGTTTTGGAACGTCATATCTCCCCGCGGAGTTATGTCGTTTTGGAACGTCATATCTCCCCGCGGAGTTATGTCGTTTTGGAACGTCATATCTCCCCACGGAGTTATGTCGTTTTGGAACGTCATATCTTCCGCGGAGTTATGTCGTTTTAGAACGTCATATCTCCGCGCGGAGTTATGTTATGAGATTTAAAAAAAAAAATCATCGAAAAAGTTTCGATTTTCGCACCGACCTCGATTTAAAAGAAAAAAAACGTGATGATTTGGAAGGTCATATCATATCCGCGGAGAGTTATGTCGTTTTGGAACGTCATATCTCCCCGCGGAGTTATGTCGTTTTGGAACGTCATATCTCCCCACGGAGTTATGTCGTTTTGGAACGTCATATCTTCCGCGGAGTTATGTCGTTTTAGAACGTCATATCGCCGCGCGGAGTTATGTTATGAGATTTAAAAAAAAAAATCATCGAAAAAGTTTCGATTTTCGCACCGACCTCGATTTAAAAGAAAAAAAACGTGATGATTTGGAAGGTCATATCATATCCGCGGGGAGTTATGTCGTTTTGGAACGTCATATCTCCCCGCGGAGCTATGTCGTTTTAGAACGTCATATCTCCGCGCGGAGTTATGTCGTTTTGGAACGTCATATCTCCCCGCGGGTTTATGTCGTTTTGGAACGTCATATCTCCCCGCGGAGTTATGTCGTTTTGGAACGTCAAATCTCCCCACGGAGTTATGTCGTTTTGGAACGTCATATCTCCCCGCGGAGTTATGTCGTTTTGGAACGTCATATCTCCCCGCGGAGTTATGTCGTTTTGGAACGTCATATCTCCCCGTGGAGTTATGTCGTTTTAAAACGTCATATCTCCCCGCGGAGTTATGTCGTTTTGGAACGTCATATCTCCCCGTGGAGTTATGTCGTTTTAAAACGTCATATCTCCCCGCGGAGTTATGTCGTTTTGTAACGTCATATCTCCCCGCGGAGCTATGTCGTTTTGGAACGTCATAACTCCGCGCGGAGATATGGCGTTTTAAAACGACATAACTCCGCGGGGAGATATGACGTTCCAAGACGATATAACTCCGCGGGGAGATATGACGTTCCAAAACGACATAACTCCGCGGGGAGATATGACGTTCCAAAACGACATAACTCCGCGCGGAGATATGACGTTCTAAAACGACATAACTCCGCGGGGAGATATGACGTTCCAAAACGATATAACTCCGCGGGGAGATATGACGTTCCAAAACGACATAACTCCGCGGGGAGATATGACGTTCCAAAACGACATAGCTCCGCGGGGAGATATGACATTCCAAAACGACATAACTCCGCGCGGAGATATGACGTTCTAAAACGACATAGCTCCGCGGGGAGATATGACGTTCCAAAACGATATAACTCCGCGGGGAGATATGACGTTCCAAAACGACATAACTCCGCGGGGAGATATGACGTTCCAAAACGACATAACTCCGCGGGGAGATATGACGTTCCAAAACGACATAACTCCGCGCGGAGATATGACGTTCTAAAACGACATAGCTCCGCGGGGAGATATGACGTTCCAAAACGACATAACTCCCCGCGGATATGATATGACCTTCCAAATCATCACGTTTTTTTTCTTTTAAATCGAGGTCGGTGCGAAAATCGAAACTTTTTCGATGATTTTTTTTTTTAAATCTCATAACATAGCTCCGCGCGGAGATATGACGTTCTAAAACGACATAACTCCGCGGAAGATATGACGTTCCAAAACGACATAACTCCGTTGGGAGATATGACGTTACAAAACGACATAGCTCCGCGGGGAGATATGACGTTCCAAAACGACATAACTCCGCGGGGAGATATGACGTTCCAAAACGACATAACTCCGCGGGGAGATATGACGTTCCAAAACGACATAACTCCGCGCGGAGATATGACGTTCCAAAACGACATAACTCCGCGGGGAGATATGACGTTCCAAAACGACATAACTCCGCGGGGAGATATGACGTTCCAAAACGACATAACTCCGCGCGGAGATATGACGTTCTAAAACGACATAGCTCCGCGGGGAGATATGACGTTCCAAAACGACATAACTCCCCGCGGATATGATATGACCTTCCAAATCATCACGTTTTTTTTTCTTTTAAATCGAGGTCGGTGCGAAAATCGAAACTTTTTCGATGATTTTTTTTTTAAATCTCATAACATAACTCCGCGCGGAGATATGACGTTCTAAAACGACATAACTCCGCGGAAGATATGACGTTCCAAAACGACATAACTCCGCGGGGAGATATGACGTTCCAAAACGACATAACTCCGCGCGGAGATATGACGTTCCAAAACGACATAACTCCGCGGGGAGATATGACGTTCCAAAACGACATAACTCCGCGGGGAGATATGACGTTCCAAAACGACATAACTCCCCGCGGATATGATATGACCTTCCAAATCATCACGTTTTTTTTTTCTTTTAAATCGAGGTCGGTGCGAAAATCGAAACTTTTTCGATGATTTTTTTTTTAAATCTCATAACATAACTCCGCGCGGAGATATGACGTTCTAAAACGACATAACTCCGCGGAAGATATGACGTTCCAAAACGACATAACTCCGCGGGGAGATATGACGTTCCAAAACGACATAACTCCGCGGGGAGATATGACGTTCCAAAACGACATAACTCCGCGGGGAGATATGACGTTCCAAAACGACATAACATCTTTCATATCTTCACAAATTTTAAATGTGGGCCAAGCGTTGGAATATTGATTTTTGAATTTTTTAATTAAAAAACTGGATTTTCTTCTTTTATTTTAAATAATTGATTTATTTATGTTCAAATATATAATATTGTTGTTTTTTATGCTAGTTTTCTTAATTATTTCTCTTAAAATTATACAAATCACGCATAAATCATAATTATAGCTTATTGAAACTTAAAATAACTATATCTGGCCTAATTAAAGTCCGATCCTGGAAAAATTTGCTTTGTCAGTCGTGGAGGTGCTTAGAGCTCAGTGTAGTCCTTAATTTGTCGGTCTGAAAGCATAAAAACATATTGAAATTAAACAAGGCGAAAAGTATATAAAAGTATTTTATGTAAAGAAAAAAGGACATAACTCGGTCATATCCTTGCAGATTTTCAAATGACATGGTGCGTTAGGATCGTATTGACCCCCTGCATCGATCTGCATCAAAAAAATATGGGCTATTACCCGAGATATTAAAAAAAAATCATCGAAAAAGTTTCGATTTTCGCACCGACCTCGATTTAAAAAAAAAAAAAAGTGATGATTTGGAAGGTCATATCATATCCGCGGGGAGTTATGTCGTTTTGGAACGTCATATCTCCCTGCGGAGCTATGTCGTTTTGGAACGTCATATCTCCCCGCGGAGTAATGTCGTTTTGGAACGTCATATCTCCCCGCGGAGTTATGTCGTTTTGGAACGTCATATCTCCCCGCGGAGTTATATCGTTTTGGAACGTCATATCTCCCCGCGGAGTTATGTCGTTTTAGAACGTCATATCTCCCCGCGGAGTTATGTCGTTTTGGAACGTCATATCTCCCCGCGGAGTTATGTCGTTTTGGAACGTCATATCTCCCCGCGGAGTTATATCGTTTTGGAACGTCATATCTCCCCGCGGAGCTATGTCGTTTTGGAACGTCATATCTCCGTGCGGGGCTATTACCCGAGATATTAAAAAAAAAAAGGCAGGAAAATGGCACTAAAAGATGTAATTTTTGGAGAGGCTGATGGTGTCGACCTCTTATTATGCAATTTCTTTATGGTTCATCATATATGTATCTCCTTTTCCATTTGTAAGGTTATCGGGCCTGGAAAATGGCCTGCTGGGGCTGAGCTCACGCAATAATGCCGTAATGTGGTCTCGTTCCGTGACGGAAATTGAGAATGTTGACATCGTGTGCTTTGGCCATCTGCTCTATGAGATGTGCACTGGTCAGGAAATGACCACACCGAAACCGTCCATCCGGGTGCTCGAAATGGAACTGCAGCATTATCCACAAATTGGGCAGGTAAGACACAGCTCACGACCGTGTCCACGAAAAGTTTGCTGTTACCATTTGCGTTTTGTAGGTTCTAGAAATATTGGGCCTTATCTTTGAACCACCCAGCGGCGTATGCCCCTCCGTCGAGGACTTAGTCCTATGCGATCTATTCCGTAGCATCGATTTACGCGAGCTGCGCGGCCCGTGCTTCAGTGTGAGTATCAATAATAAAACAAACCTTATCAAAATGCCGCCCATTATAGCGTTATTCTTACACCTAATTCAGACAATCAAGCCGAGCCTCAGCCGTTCCACGTTAAATTTGCTGCACGCCGTAAAGAAGCGCCAATGCGCCTCGCTGGGCAGCTCCTTCAGCGCGGCGAGTTCTCCGTGCACGCCCCCCTCGACACCGCACGATCGACGCACTGGGTAAGTGTCCATGGAGGCTAGAGATTCGTACTACCTACACATAGCCATGCAGCCCACCGACAAATACACACACATGCACTCACATGCACACACACACACACGCACACACACGCACACAGGCTAATACATATTTGAATCTCAGCGTACACACATTCACGTACTGTACAGCTGCCAACAAAAGGCCATTTGTTAAGTGAGGTCTGGTCCATAAAGATCTATGTCGGGTCCAGTTATATAGAGGGTAATACTATAGTTAGCTTTAAAACTCTTTACTAAAGTCTATTCAATGTTTCTTAAGACCTGCATGAAATTAACAAATATATATATATTTATTTATTACAGTATCTTCTTTAATAAATGTGTAGTAAATAATGCAGGCTTTTTTTATTTACCTTTAAATTTATTTTACTGAGCTTTAGAATGTTTTCAAACAATTAGACCTTACCAACATGAGCTAAAATAAACTGATTGTGGGCTATTTTCAATAAATAGGCAAATTGTAACAAAAAATATAATCCATTCTTTTGCCGTATACTCGAGATGGGTAAAGTTTTTAGTTGATTCTGCTCCAGCAAATTAATATGTAGATATATTTCAGGTTAATAAAAGATAACACAATGACAAAACGCACACAAAATGCGTGTGTAGAATAAAATGATGTGTTGAGAAACAAAGAAAAAAAGGCAAACAGTGAAGTAACTGCGAAACGCAAAATGAGAGCATAAGCAAAAAAATGGCGTCATACACTTAATGTTCAAATATGTGTGCGTATTTGTATTGTTATGTGTGTATAAGTGCACATGTAACTCACCCAAGCACCTGTCCGTTTGTCTGTGTGCTTTAGTGTGCGTGCCTGCGGTAATTATGGTAATGTTCTGGCCGAGATCCCTGCTCTCGCAGTTACCCCACCCCCGCCCTTGCCCGGAGTGTCTGCGCCTGTTGTCAGTATTAGGTGTTTGAAAATTATGCATGCAAGACGAGAATGTAATTAAGTAATATGGAGAATGAAGAGTGGCGAAAGGAGAAGGGAGAGGGGAAAGTTTAGAATGGAGATAGCAGAGGCAACTACTTTATTAAATGCCCAACACACATTGTTGCTCATGTATATTTTAAGCATATATATATATATATATTTCTCTCAGTGTAAATTTATTTTTTGCTGCCTAACAAAACGCATGTCTTATACATATATTAACTTATATACATATAAGTAGAGGAAATTTTCAACTAAAGTTTTTTGTATGCAATGTTTACTCTCTCTTTCTCTCTACAACTAAAACCAAATCAACCAAAAACCAATGTCTATAATACATCTGAATAAAAAACCTACTCTATATATATATGTCTTAGTGTTGCGAGCCGAACAATCAAACTGAACCAGTTGCAGTTACACAAGCCCCATCTTTACATAAATACATACAGATCAGCTCTTGAATGTCTATCAACTTTTGTTTTTGTCTATCTAACATACGTGTGTGTTTTATTTATGATTTACAAATTGTTGCATTTCTGCATTTGTTTATTTACATAACCCGTTCGAACCAACTACAGTGTTCCGCCTGCGCCCTATGAAGTCTTTCGTATGTACTAAACCAACCAACCAATCAATCAATCAATCAACCAAGATGCAAACAGAACAAACGAATATGAAATTAAAAAATATCCACAACAAATCACTCACAAATACAATTACCCCAATTACAAAGTGTAAGACCAAATGGCAAATGAAAAGAATACCTGAATAAAAATAAAAACATAAAAAACAAACTGACAGCGCAATTTGTATCAATCACAACAATTTTTGTACTCAACTGCAATTTTTTAATACCCCCAAAAAACCAAACAAAAATTTCCCAAAAATGGAAGAAATACTGAATGCAAACAAATTGTTGTTGTTGTTGGGTTAAGAAAAAAAAAGAACTGTGGTAAGTGGCAAATTTTTGTGTATGCTAAAGCCACCAGCGGCGACCCCCCCCCCCCCTTCTCCACAACACCAACCCCCCCACTCCACCCTCAATGCACAGAGCCTAGCTAGCAAGCCATGCCCATTTTTGTAGAGAATCAACTTTTTCCACCTGCTTTAATTGTTCTTTTGTGCGCTTAAATATTGTAAATAAATAATTTCCGTGTGTAAATAACTGTTGTTTCCATTTATACGGCTATATTTTATACTTGTTGTTTTAACTGCTTTTAAATGAATATTGCATGCACATTTGTATCGAAATAAAAGTAATTTGTTTGCGATCTGCCGAAGATTAGATACCCTTACAGTCCATCATTTTAAAAATCTACACACACAAGCATAGAATTTTGACCGAAGTATTACATGGGTTTAGCACCATATAAAAGTCCGATGTTTGATAAACTAGTCGACTAATATAATATATATGTACATCGGTAAAAAGTTATCTTTTGTATATACTTGATTGATACTCTCCAAAGTATCTAATTTAAGTCAATAAAATATTGATATAAAACTTCAGATATTTAGAATATATATTATTTGTAGTTAACTAATTTCTAAAAGTAAAAATTTCCATTTCGTGCTGAGATAATACTCTTTGTTCTTTTGCGTTTTATTGTGTACATATTAGAATTTTGGAACACTTGGCATTTTTTACTAACGGAAAAGTGAAATAAAGAGCATTAGGTTTGTTAGAGTCATCTTTCATCCTATCAACATTTACTTCACCTAGCTATGCAATGCACATAACACACCACATTTCAAATATTTCTATAATAAACAAATCAAAGATCTTTTTGACAACAAATTTCAATGTTTTCCAGAGCTACACGATACAGGTGTCGAATTAAAAATAATCTTTATTTGCTTTATTAGTTATGAAAATACTATAAATAGGAAAAAGAAAGACAGAAGTTATTCATAAAGTAAGGAAATTTATACTAGATATGTAGAGTTAGGATAAATAGATAGTGATGGGAAATAACCTGTGGGGGATATTTATAGCCTGTCCGACCAGCTAAGCTCCTACTCCTAGCTGGGAATGGTCAGTGAGTTATTGAAGGTATCCTAAAAGCATAGCTCATATATCGATATATTTCGAGGATATCCTTAAAACAAGGAGGATAGTTTAAATAAAAACAGACAGACGGACAAGAGTACATCGACACGGCTTTCAAAACTGATCAAGAAAATTATGATAGCATCTTTAAGGGCATAACATCAATAACAATATAATATTGTAGGCAACCCATTAGAAAAATTAGAAGAAAAAGTCACACTATTGTACAGATGTTAATGAATAGTTAAGGAATATGAACTAAGCAAGGATAAAGGATATGCTAGCCCCACTCTAAATTCCCACTAATGTACAGTTCTCAATGAATAGTTTAAGTAGTTATACTAAAGGAGTAATATAGTATACGCTAGTTGAAGATTCAAAGGAAAATTAATAATTTTGAGCATAGCTCAGGTTTCCTAATTAGATTCGAGGCGAACAAAGCACGTGCCCACCCAGCAAGTTATTATTGATGCTTCAACTGCAGCACGTTGGCAGATGGCAACGCCCGCTCTCACCCATACACCCATACACCCATACACACATAAACACACAGATACACAAAACAATAGCACCAGGTGATGACAGAGGCAGCGTTACCTGCATCAATCCAGGCTGAAATCTATTGCTATTGAGCTTTTATGTGGTCTATCGCATTCTGATTGTTGTTCTCGCCTCGCACAGCATCAGCCGAACAATGGACTCATTTGACATATCAAGCGAGGAGGAGGAGGGGGGCCTGCTCGAGGAGATTGTGGTGGGCAGCAGCGTCTGTCAGATGAAGGGTCTGCAGCGACTGCAGCGTAACCAGAACTGGGACTCCGCCTCCGGGTCGTCCTCGTTTACACGCACCCAACACAGGCAGCAGTATGCGCCGACAGAGTCGCCCATTCATTACTGTGACCACGCGGTGCTTTACTCGGATGACAACAGCAACAGCAACTGTGCCCAGAAGCAGCCGACAATTCACTGTAGTACAAGCAGTCAAAGCAATCTGAATGTGCTGCTCGCCGAGCAGAGCGAGGGGCGGGAGCAAGCGGATGATGAGCATTTAACGCTGGCGGCGCCAGATGATGCGGTGGCCAGTGGCTCGGGTGGAGCACAGCGGTTGCACGCATCGTCCTGCTCTTCGGCGGCGGCCTCCTTCAATCATCAGCTGACAGCGGACATGTGCAACTACAAGAACTCGAAGAGTCGTCGCCTGGAGTATTCGCTCAAGTGTCTGAAATATGGACGCAGTAATCCGTCACAGGACTCGGCCTTTGGTTCGCTAACCGATAACGATTTGTCTATTGGCTCCTCGAGCATACGTCTGAACAGTTTTCAATCGATCTCTTCGCCTATTGACGAGGGCGTCGAGGATGTCATTATAGCCACGACAACGGGCGGCAAGGAGACCTGCCTCGAACTGGCCACCATACCGCGCAACATGGTCTCGCAGGACTCGGCCATCTCGTCGCCCTGTCGCGAGAGTTCGCCCAGCAATTTTTTGCACATTGACGATGCCATGTCCGGCACGGGCTCGACTTCATCCGGATCCGGATCGGGTTGCGCGTCACTGGGCAACGTGCGACCTCAGCATTTTCCCGTGTCGCTGTCCCCCAAGATTCTGGTGACGGCGACCAGCAACTCGAGCAACTCCTCGCTAGCCTCCAGCAGCACGGCACAACCGCCGCAGCAACAGCTCCAGCAGCAGTTCGATCCGCCCAAGATTCTGGTCAATGATCAGAATTCGATTTACACGACGTCGCCTTCGAAGCGCTCCAGCATGATTGAGGTGTTCTCGCAGAAGTATCGGGTCAGCTCCTTTGAGGACATGTCGCCGAAGCGCTCCGGCTCAGACAAGCAGTATCTGAAGAACGTCAACCGCTTGGCCTTTCGCTCACTCGAGGAGGAGCGTCGCATCGATAACGCCTTCCTGCCCATGGCGGACCGCACGCACTCGGACAACAGGGTTAACATGCAGAGCGAGAAATACAAGAAGCTGACGCACGCCTCGTTCCGCATCAGCAAGACCGCGTCGACGGACCAATCCCCTGGCCATCATCCGGCCTCCAGCATGGAGCTGCAGCGCACGGGCAGCGCCAGCGGCAGCCAGCGCCAGACCCTCTGGCGCGACAGCAAGTTCTATCGCAAGAATCGCATTGCCAAGAGCAACGATTCCCTGCTGGAGCACTCGCCGAATCACTCGTCACACTCGGCCCGGCTTTCTCCGAGCTCGCTGCGGGACAATCACTACGAGAGCAGCTGCTGCTCCTCCGTCCAGGGCAGTCGGCGCTCGCTCAGCGGCAGCCAACAGATGTTAAGCGTGACGACCAGCTTCTGTGGCACGGGGCACGCGACGCGACACTATTGCAGCTCCAAGAGTGAGGATCTGGGCGAGTCCTCCGACTATTTGCGTGTGATGGACGCACGTAAATCGTACTCGGAACGGCATTTGGTGCGGCTCAAGCAGACGGCCATAAATAACACGCACAGCGGCAGCGAGGACGAGCTGAGCTTCAACGAGGACAATAATCCTTCATCATTCTCATCCGCATTCGCAGCAGCCAGCAGCCAGGGACAACAACAACAGCAACTGCAGCCGCCGGCACGGGCCGGCAAGTTGAGCTGGAGCAGTTGCTCCATTAACCACCTGAAGATGACCAATATCAAGACCACTTCGCTGGCCACGCTTACCTGCCAAACGAATTTAAGCTCCAACTTTCCCTCCGCCCAGGCGCCAGCAACTGCCAACTATCGCACCCCATCCAAATCCCTGGATCAGGCACTCAACGTCAGCAGCAGCAACACCAGTAACACCAACAGCAGCACCAGCACCAGCAACAGCAACAGCAGCAGCAACAGCGCCGCCGCCGAGGACAACAGTTCCGTGGATGAGTCGCCCTCGAGGCGAACGCTGAGCGGCGCCGAGCTGTCGCGCATCTTTGTCATGGACATGGACGATGCGCCGGGCAGCAGCTGTAGCGAGGAAAAGACGCCGCTGCTCGACAGCGTCGAGATGTCGCCGATTAGCCCAACAGAGCCGCAATCGGACCTGGACAAGCTATAAGCTGCGATTGACAAATATTACTGAGGGCCTACACGAAAAATGGCGGTTTTTGTATGTGTGACGTCACAATGTCGACTTGGCCTTTTCTAACATACATTTATTTTAAATTCAGCGTGCATGAGAGAAATTATCGTACACCATGTTTTTTTTTTGTACGACTGCACGTTATCGTGACGTCACGGTGGCTCTCTCAATCGTGCCATGAATTACCCATACACAGACACGTATTAAGCAGCCAAAATGCAAAGCATGTGATAAATATGTATGTACGTAGCAATGAAATCGAAATTGAATGGGAACCATCAAATCAATGAGTTTTAAGTTTAAAATGGATGACTGGTTAAATACGAGTAAAATATTAAGGGAGAATGAATGTGTGTGTGCTTAGAGCGGAATGACACTTGCAATATGTACGTCTGTTACTTCTTGCCTACTTCTTTGGTACATGCTGGTACAGCTTCGTCGCCTTTTCAACACTGTCTCGAAAGTGGCGCAACAATTTGAATGTTTATCGTTTGTTCGAATCAAGTTTTTGGCTAACAATCGTTGGGCTGCTCTCGCCTTTGCCCAAATCCACACTTAAAGCTTTCTTCTGGTAACAATAATATTTTCTTTGTATCTATTGTATTTTACGCTTATTGTGTACAAGTGTACAAAGCGCTTTTACTGAAAATAAGTCTATACTGATGCTTTTCAACTCTCTAGACTGCTAATAAAAAAATAAAACAAAATAAAAGCAACATCAACAATGTGAGCATCAAATACACCTCCATCCTTCTGATGGTTTTTTAGCTAACAAACTTTTGAGTAAAACGTTTTCGAACGCAAAATTATACACAATTATTTGTAGCAATCTACACAGCTAAGACTTAAGCTTACGCAGCGAGTATTTAAAATATTTTACTGTAGCTTAAAATTGTTTTAAAGCCCAGCAAATAAAATAAAAATAAAGTGTTTAATCAATAAAGAAAATTAATAAAATGGATTACATTCAAAATACAAACTTAATAACAAGTATATCTAGAGTGTAACATGGCCAAAACATATTTAAATTAAATATTTATATAGCTTAAATACAACTAAATTCAATTTAGTATAAAATAGAAATGAAAATACAATTTAAATGTTTTAGCAGGGGCTTTACCTTCAGTTACGATGGATCACATGTAGAGCAGGAAGGGTATACGAAAAAAAAAGTAATCAAAACACAAGAGTTCAAAACACTAATCCATTCCCAATAAAAAATAGAACAATATGTTTATGTTTATGGTAAATACCTAAAGACAAAAAAGTACGAATGCACTTAAATATTGAAACCAAATAAATTAATAAAAAAATAAGTCAATGAAACGTTGGTAGACAGAAACAAAATTCATGGAAAATACTCATGTATTCTTAAATATAAGAAAGATTACGAAACATCCAATAAAAATGCAATCAAATTTACAAAACTTACATATATCAGAAGGCACAAAAGAAAAAAGCAGAAAAATATATAAATAATATGTACAAGAGAAAATAATAACTATAAAATCTATAAATTTAGACGCACGCACCTAGCGAGACGCACTTTCATGGAAGGTCCCCCCGGATATCCAGTTCGAGTCGATACAAATACTGATCATAGAACTTGAACAGAGCACAGAGTTCCACATTCAACCTACATGCATATTAAAAGTACACTTCTTGATTAATTATAATGATTCCGACAAGAGTAAAAAAATTGTTTCCGTTTTAATATACTATATAACAATGTTTGTGTACATTTATTTAACAAGTATGGCACAGCTAAAATATTTTTGTGTACGCATTATTATAAAATACTGCTCAAGTTACCGGGCCGAAAAAGAAATCATCTCAAAACAATTTTTAAAGCTAAAAATATATATACTTATTTATAGAATCAGTGATATTAAGTGAATATTTTTATGATTTTAAGTTTTGAATAAAGAACATAAGTCTAGAAATCCTATTGAAACATTCTATTCCTCAAAGCCAGCCGCAGGTCCGTAACGTAAAACTAATAAATAATTACGCACATAAATTACAATTCAAATTTTTCAACGTTCACGGGCGCATTCAATTTGTCGCCCATTTGGACATTTACAACACTTAATTGTTACCCGCATATCGATAAGTTATCAACGAGTCGATATATTAGACTAGCTGCCACTTAAGCTGTTCATACTCGATTACACGATAACAATCAAGTAAACAAAATAGTTGCAAACACGCCGCTTATATTTAATCCACAAATGGCAACTTTTAAGCCAAAGTTTCTGAAACCGGAAACAGACGATGCCATTGCCGATGCCGGCGGCGGGCAGGAGCCGCAGAGCTCTGCCTTTGTCTTCAATGCAAATCACAATCTCGGCCTAGTCGAGCAGCGCGAGCGCCTGCCCATCCGCAAGTACCGTGACCAGATTCTGTACTGCCTGGAGCACCATCAGGTGGTCATACTGGTGGGCGAGACGGGCAGCGGGAAGAGCACGCAGGTGCCGCAGTACTTGTACGAGTGGGGCTGGCACAGCAAGGGCATGATAGGCATCACCGAACCGCGCCGAGTGTCCACCGTGACGCTGGCCAACCGCGTGGCCCAGGAGCGTGGCGAGCTGGTGGGCGATACGGTCGGATATGTGGTGCGCTTTCTGGAGCGCATCTCCAGCGAGACGCAAATCAAGTTCATGACAGAGGGCATCCTATTGCGCGAACTGCTGGCCGATCCCCTGCTGACCCAATACGGCGTCATCATTGTGGATGAGGCGCACGAGCGCAACATGCTCACTGACATGGTGCTCGGGCTGCTGAAAAAGATTCTGCGCAAGCGTAGCAATCTGAAGTTAATTATCTCCTCGGCCACCATCGATGCAAGCTTCTTCAGCGAGTTCTTCAGCTGGCCAGGTGCAGACTCCGATCATCCCCTCAGCGTTAAGCTGAGCATAGAGGGCCGCATGCACGCGGTCAGCCACTTCTACCTGAACGAGCCCTGCGCGGATTATGTGCGCGAAACCGTGGAGACCGTTTGGAAGCTGCATCAGAAGGAGTCGCTGGGCGATATCCTGGCCTTCTTAACCGGCCAGGAGGAGGTGCTGGAGGCGCTGGACCTGCTGCGCGAATACATAGCCGGCGCCGAGATGACCAATCTCAAGGTGCTGCCCATGTACGGCAGCATGACGAGCAGCGATCAGCTGGCGGTGTTCTTTACGCCGCCAAAGGGGGTGCGCAAGGTGGTGCTGGCCACCAACATAGCGGAGACCTCCATCACGATACCGGGCATTGTGTACGTCATCGATTGCGGCTACGTGAAGGTCAAGTGGTACAATCCGGCGACCTGCAGCGACAGCCTCGTCGTTGTGCCCGTCAGCAAGGCATCGGCGGTTCAACGTGCTGGTCGCGCGGGTCGCGTGCGTCCCGGTAAAGTATATCGGCTGTACACGAAGCAGGACTACGATGCCTTGGCGCCACGTCAACCGCCCGAGATGCGCCGCAGCGAGATGAGCGGCGCTGTGCTGCAGCTGAAGGCGCTGGGCATTGGCAACATTCTGCGCTTTGATTTCCCCTCGCCGCCGCCGGCCAAAAATCTGCTGTCCGCCCTGGAGACGCTTTACGCCCTGGATGCCATCGATGAGCAGGGTCAGCTGACCAGGCCCGTGGGCTTTCTGCTGGCCGAATTGCCCTTCAGCGCCATGCTGTCCAAGATGTTGTACGTGTCCGGGCAAATGGGGTGCGCCGAGGAAATCATTACGATTATTGCCATGCTCCAGGTGCAGTCGGTCTTTTCCCGGCCAGCGTCGGCGGCAGCTCAGCAGAGCGGACGCATTGCGCATCGTCACTTCGAGGTGGCCGAAGGCGATCTCATCACGCTGTTGAACATATACAGCGCCTTTGTGGAGGAGGGCATGACCAAGGAGTTCTGCGGCCAATATTATCTCATCTATCGCAATCTGAAGCGTGCCTGCGAGCTGCGCGAGCAACTCCTGACGCTGGCCCGCAAAAAATACGGCATAGCCATTTTCTCGTGCAAGGGCGACGTGGAGATGCTGTGCAAATGCATCACCGCTGGCTTCTTCACGCAGGTCGCTTACCTGCATCACTCGGGCGTCTACAGGCAGATCAGCAGCGGCACCGAGCTGGCCATACATCCCAACTCCACTCTCTATACACTACCCCAGGCGCAGTACGTCGTCTACTCGGAGCTGCTTCAAACGACAAAGCTCTTCATGAACCACGTGACGGTCATCAAGAAGGAATGGCTCACGGAACTGGCGCCCCACTACTACCAGCAGACCACAGTCAGGGATTAGCAGCGGGTAACAATCAAAATATAATGATATTTAATAGAATATAAATTTAAGCTTAAGTCTAAAACTGGAACTCTTTTATATTGCTAGCCGGCGGCGACGCGTCCGCGACCCTGGAACATCATCATGGACTCGGGACCGCGAATGACGCGCGACATCAGCTCCCAGCACATTTTGGCCGGCAGCAAGCTGGAAGCAAGATTCAAGATTATTAAGATTCGATATAGATTACGGATTGTATATATATTTACCACTTAAGCGGCGTCAGCAGGCGGATAGAATTGGGCAACACGCACCAGACCTCGTTGCGACGCACCGCACCTTCGATGCGATCGGCCACGTATTGGGGCTCCAGCATGGGCACCAGACGCGGCTTCACGCCCGAGAACATGCCCGTGTTAATGTAATAGGGGCAAACGAGGCTCATCTGTATCTGGGCATAGCCGTGCGCCTTCAGGTCCGTCAGCAGGCTCTCGTGGAAGCCAATGCAAGCGTACTTGGTTGCCGCATAATCGCTGCATCCGTAGGTACCCAGCATGCCTGTTACGGAACCAACGGTCACAATGTGTCCACGATTCTGTCGCATCATGTGCGGCAGGAAGGCCTTCGCTGTCCAGTAGTGGGAGATGATGTTGATGTTGTACGTGTTAAGAATGACGCGATCGTGCAGCTCCCAGAAGGGCTTGCAGCACACGATGCCCGCATTGTTGATCAAGATATCCACATGGCCGACATCCTCGACGACCTGTGCCGCACGCTGATAGATCTGTTCCCGATCCGATATGTCCACCACATAGCCCTTGCAATTGTTAAAACCATGCTTGGCCAGCAGATCGACTGTCGTCTTGATGGCTGTTAACCAAGAGTTACGGTTAGCTAATCAATTTGTAAGTGTAGCAGAGCTTTCTCCCTGTGAGTTCCTTCACCCGCCCAGCTGCTAATTGAAGCATTTAGCTAAACAGCGTTAATTAGCCGAGGCACAGCTGAAGCGAAACTCACCTTCTTGATTGATGTCCCAGATGACAATGCGCGCCTCCAGTCTGGCAAAGTTGAGGGCTATCAATCGTCCCACTCCGCCGCCCCCGCCAGTTATGAGCACCACCTGGCCCGAGATGTTCTGTTCAAAAGTGGAGACAATATTATAAGTGAAAGTTAAACTCAATAAGCAGATAAGATATCAATAATATTAAGGTTAATACCAATTGTATACATAAATATAGAGATAGTTTTTTTTTTAAATATATGTTGCATAAATCGTCCTAATTAGTATTTATTAAATTATATGAAGATTATGTAAAAACCTTTGAGTAATAAATAGATAATAAATATATTTATTTATTTTTCAATGTGTAAAAACATTTTAATGTGACAATATCTACGTATATCTGTAGATATATTTCTTGCTTTGCATATGTATTTATCTGAAAGATACGCGAAGATTTAATATGCAGAAAACGTTATGCATATCTTATGCATGGTTAACCAAGTTAGGAGCGTCTATTTCAACAACAAAATGTCGAACTATAATTTCAAATCGATTTTGTAAGCAGTTGCCATTTCAACATATATGCATATATATACAACATATATATTAATATACATATATACAATAAAAGTTAGTCAAAGGCCCTCAAGCGCATATATTTTTATACTCTAGTAAGATTGTATATTATTTTACTTGATTTTCTTTTGTGTAATGTCGGGTTGTGCTTTATGTCTGTTGATTACCGACTTGCCCCTGCAACAACAACAAAAACAATGACTAAGAAAATAGCTTTGTATGCGAAAAACCAGTTGCACAAACTAATTGAAAAATTTGTTAAGAAAAGCGCCTACCTTTTAATTAAAAATTATGTGCGATGGAACTGTATTTTGTTCAGACCTGCTTCACTTCAATGTCACATGCCCCAATTGAAAACAAAGCCCCCACAAATACCACAGAAAAACCAAAAACTATCATAAATATTTGCGGAGTCTGCGAGTACTCGTATTATAAGTGACGTCCACGAATGCCAAAATAAAGGCCCCAAGCCAAACACAAAATTGTGCAAATAAATAAAGACGAGTTCATTCATAGACCAAAAACCATTAAAAAGAGGAAAAAACGCGCCAGCGTGTGAATATGATTTTTTTTTAATGCATATACATAAATATTTTTTTCAATATTTTGGTAATGGCAACGGAAACCGTTGAAGTATGTCCAAACAACGCCACCGTTTTGTTTAGGATCTTGTCGAGTCTGTCAAAATTGAGTTTACGATTGTTGCAAATGAAAGATGTAAAATGGAAAACAAAGCAAAATAAATTGGAAAGTTTAGAGCCATAAAAATGCCGGCGGTACAATGCATACAATTTCGGGTGGAAAATACTCAAGCGAATAGATTAAAAAACTGAAAAGCTGAAAAATCAGATGTTACTTTAAATAATTATTTAATTTAATTCCAAGCCAGGCTGCTAAATTATTTAATTAAGCAAATAATTGTAATTGTAGCAAGTAATTAAAATGGCATTTAACAATCTTCATAAAGTGTTTTAATTTACTGCTTAATTTACTTGCTACTAACTAATTAGTTTTTGTGATGTATTTGGGTTTTGTTTTAAACGAAACCGAAAAAAACTTCCAAATAAACTGTCATTTATTAAGGGTCAACAAAAAAAAAAAAAAAAAAAAACAATAAACAAGACAGTGGCTAATATAGGTTTATGAGTGTATGAAGTTCATCTCCGTTGAGTTAGTTATTTTTATAGCGAAAAAAACATTAATTTAAAGCTGCTGCAAGTCAAGAGTTCAAATAAAACAAGGGGCTAATTATGTAAATTTCCTTTTCCGTTTTTTGGTTTTCGTATTTTCCTTACCTTCAACTTTCTAAAACGCTGCGGCAATATTGTATAATAAAGCGATTCCGCTATATAAAAAATAGATTTAATTGTGAACACAATTAAATCCAAGAAAAATTGACAGAAAGCAGCCAAGGGCTTTTCCATGTGCAACAGGCCAGGAGGCGTAGGATTGTTCATGATGCCGAAGAATTTGTCAGAAACCAAAGATGTCTTTTATTGATGTCTTTTATTGAACCCCAAGGCAAGGGTCTTGTAATTAATAAATTCGCAATGGACCAATGCCAAACATATGTGGATGTAGTTTCGTATGCGAGACACAGCACAAAATTGTCGGCTTATAGCTTTTATTTGCAAGTAGTGGGCCAAGCACTTTGCATGCTAATGATCAGGTATTCCGCCGGTGAACCGAGCCCGAACGAACACAATGAATTCAAATGAAACTCATTTGAAATTTCACTCTTTTGTTGCCGTTTTATTATTACTATTTTATTTCTTTTATTTGCGGAGGCGCGCGCTACGTTTGTTAAAATTCGCTGGCTTTGTATCTTTTTTTCGTTGTTGTTGTATTTTTATTTTGCTGGCCACGTTTGCGTCCGTGCGATCCGAAGTCAAAATACAAACTGAAACCTATCGTCTAGCGCCTGGAATCTTGTCTCATGCCTCAGCTGAGCTCTGTCGCTCTTTCTACTTTTATTTTATTTATTTGTGGGCAGCCGCTGGAGATCTGCTGCAAGATTCACAAAATAGTCGTGTCGTGACCGCAGAAATACGTTAGGCAAATGTCAGCGTCTATCACTTTCTTAACTTGGCTAGTTGAACAGCTGCGTTAGGCTAGGTAACTTGGTAAGTCAAAGAAGTCTTCAGAACCTGTTTGATAGTTCATTTTACTATCACAAAGTTCAAGATAATAAAATGTTACTAGACTTCATTGCTTTGTACTTAATATTTTATGTTGTTGTACTCATTTATGTTAACTGGTATTCATTTTCAAATGCATGCCCTTTGTCTGGAATCTTATTATAATGTTATTATATTTATAGCAATATTAATTATAAATATTTGCGTTTGATACTCTATCTACGTTCACATTTTTACGAGCAACTAAGCTATCTTTTTAAAATCGTTTAACACCATAGCATGCTTTTAGGCACAATATAAATGTATTTGTTGTCGCAAAGTATCTTAAAAATGTATTTCAAAAAGTATCTTGGTGTCTTGAAGACTGGTCCGCGGTTCAAATGCCGTGGACACCAAAAGACTTTTTATGAATACATTTGTTTTGGCTCTTTTTAAAATAAAATAATAATTTATCTATTTACGTAAAGTATCTTAATAATGTATTCCATAAAGTATCTATGTCTTCTAAGTTAGGTCTGCGGTTCGAATGCCGGGGAAACCAATATATTATTTTACCTGCATTACTTGGACGACACTGCGCAGTGTTCATGCAAAATCCACCCCTGTTTGTCAGCGGCTGTTGCTGCTGCTTTGTCTTGTAATTCCCAAGTGCTAATTTTGCGCTTGCTGAGTATAAATACAAGCAGTGCTAACATGAACACTGGAAGTGTCTTCTGTGATTGTTCTCTGTGCATTGATCGATATATAGATGCCCATCTGTTTATCAGATCTGCTCAGTGCCGACCCTCCGTCACACTTTGTTTCCCAGTAATTCTGCCTGGCATTGCTGTGGCAACAGGTTTTGATTGGCTTTCCGCTGCCTTTGCTACCGACGACGGGTCGAATAGCAACAGACGCACGGTTATGCATCAGCCCAACCCACCGCCCAACCTTCGCCTCGCGCGTATTTCAGTCGCTTTTGAGATTGATGATGCGTATAGGCAACGGGTTGGGCGGGGGGCGCTAATGTTGAAGCCAACAACAGTTGCCCAAGTCAGCCATTTTCAAAATTTCTTGGTTAAGTAACTTTGTAGCTTAGCTTCGGATTTTCGTAATAAATTTGCTGTTCAGAACACTTCCATTCTCGCGGCATTGCCGAGCAATTTGCCCATTCTTTTGCAAAAATTATTTTACTAGAATACACTAATAAATTACTTTAATGGGACATTTCACTTCAGACTAGCTATTCGCTTTTTTATCGGCATGCATCCATTTCTTAGCGATTGTTTCGGCAGTATAACGAACCAGAGAAGCAATGCTGCGCTCGATGTATAATAATGCACTGTGGACCACAATTGACCAATTCCGTAATCTTCGGCTATGAGGGCCAAGGTGCTGCGCTTAACGGAACTTGATGGAAGCCTCGTGATAGCGGTCATATTCGGAGGTAGCTCTGTCTCAAGGTCAGTCTGGAAGTCGTCCAGTTCCCTGCGTTCCATATTCTTCAGATAGTGCTTTAGTTCATAACGTTTACTGAAATGCACCTTTGAGAAATTGTAAAGCTGTCGGAGGCTAGCTCGTGGCACTTACATCTGACGGTCCCTCAGCCGCCGCTCGAGGTTCTCGATCGTCATCCGCATATTATGCAGTGCCTCGTTCTTTTGCTCCAACTCCTGAATGTACGACTCCTCGCGTCTGCCAAATTCGGTCTCCATGCTGCGCATGTTTATGGACAGCAGCTCCTTCTCGCGAGCCAATTGCTGTACATTGCTCTGCTCCTCGGAGAGCCGCAGCTGCAAGTTGCGCTGTTCCATCAACGCGCTCAAGAGATCATCTTTGCATTTGCCCACCTTTCTTTCCAGTTCCAATTGCTGCAGGGGAAAATAGTTTTTCAAGGACCGATAGAAGGAAGAAGGAATTTCTAGGCAAACGAACCTCCTGTCGGCTGAAGTTGAGCTCCTTCTCCAGCTGATCCTTGTCCGCCTTCAGGCTGCGCACGGATGTGCTTAGCCTCTCGCAAGAGCTGCGCACTTCGTTGATGCTTAATGTGGATTTTTTTAGCTCCAGCTGAAGCTCCTTGCAGCGCTTCTGCTCCACGCGCATCAGGGTATTGGAAACATGCAATTCGTTCTTGGAGTGCATGGACTGAAAGGGAAATAAATATTATATTCATTGATTGCAATTTCGAGTCCCTCGCAATTCACCTTCCGCTGGAGGCGTTCCACCACCTGCTGCAGCCGGCGCACATCGGCGCGTCTTTGCCGCCAGGCGTGCAACATGACTGAGGTGAAGATCTTCATGCTGGCAATCCTGTCTATGTCCCGGCTGGGGCTCCATGACACCGACTCCTGCTCCACTATGCTCTCGGACGTGACCAGCACCTGCGTGCCGACCGTGCTCCACGAGTCGTCCGCATGGCACTGGGCCGGACGCAGCGCAGTGGAGTCCGTGCTCGGATTGGGCTCATGGGTATAGGAGAATTTTGGGTTATTCTCCGGGCCCAGTTGTACGACATCCATGTTACAATAATATTTTATGTATAACTGCAATTTTCAAAGACAACCAAGGCGAACCTCAAAAACATTAACTAATTAGTCCAGGTATAAAAATGTTCTTAAAATATTAAAAAACAAAAACAAAACAAAAATTGATAACTTTAATGAATTTTTATGCCTACACTAAATTTGTTCTGTAGGTTAAGAAGTTTTAATCGATGTGCACTAGGATATAGTATATATGTATATGTCTTGATTAAATCGTTTTGAATATTATGTTATATAATTGCACTGCAGTATTTCACAAGAATTTCGTAGAATCGACAAAAGTCCTTGCATGTTAACTGGCAAATTGCACGCACACTTCCGAAGTGGAGGCGGGGATTCCGGGCACCAAGTTCATGAGCTGGGGTCTGGCCGACTGCGGCATGCCCTCACTTTTTCAACAGACTGAAAGTTAAATGGAAATTTGTTAAAGAAAAATGTGTTGAATATTCATATTGCTTATATAACTGAATTGTTCACTGAAAGAATTTCTTGCAAATATATATTTTTTTATAAAAATATTTTTAAATAAACAATTTTTCTCTTACAAAAATATTCCAATTTATTTCAGCTCAGTGTAATAGAACTTTCCCTTTAATATCTCGTTTACAATCTGTATTCCAAAATTGTTTTGTGCGGGAATTTCTCACAAAAACATATACATATATTTAAGATACATAGTATAAAAAATTATATTTAAGAAAAAATTATTCCAATTGCATTTCAATTAAATTCTGAATTCTCTTCCAATTTATTTCAGCTTAGTGAAATTAAATTTTCGTATAATATCTCATTTCTCAATCTGCTTAGCGCAACTTTTACAAGGTCCTTCACCGCATTTTCACCTTCGCATTGAACGCGTTTACTTTGTATGGTTAGTTGCCCAGGTCGAGCTACCTCAAGGACACGTGTCGCAGGAAGTTCAAAGAGCTTAAACAGCACAAGAACAACAAAATCGTAGCAGGAAAATCAATATGTCGTGTATATAAGGTAATATATGCGACTTCTTACCTGCCCAGCACGTGTCGGCTTTACGCGTACCCGAACCCAGTCCTAACCCAGTCATCCCCCTTCGTGAAAAAACCTGGTCAACACTGGACAAGTATCGCGTGATTTTACCGACAAACGTTTTCCAATTGGTCGTTGACTGTGGCATTAGCAGGTAAGATAGGTGAGGCAGGTGGCGTATGTTTGATCGATGTCTGGCCTAGGGGACCCGGGAGCCATTAGCCGAGACATTTGTTGTTGTTGGTTTTCCTCGAAATTCTGTTGGTATTATTATTTGTTGTGAAATTTCAGGATTGACATAATTTCTATTTATTTGGAGTTTAGCTCATACGCACTTGGCTGGGGAAATTTTGATGCTTCAGATACCGTTGCATCGGTCGCGTGTTTAGATAAGTAGGGCAAATAGTAGGAAATTCTTTGGGAATTGCCAACATAATTGCGAGGAAATTTTTGTTTTGGTGCTTCAGATACCGTTGAATGGGTCGAGTGTCTTTCAAACATGTGTTTTAAGTAGGACTAATAGTGGGAAATTCTTTGGGAATTGCCAGCAGAGGGATAAGGGATAAGGGAAATTTTCCATTTAATTAAATAAATTACTTAAAAGTGTGCGAAATGACCCAAGTTGTATATGTAAATTATCAAAGCACGATACAGATTTCTGATTTATTAAAATTAAAAAAAGTACAAGTTTTTTATTCAAAACTTTATCTCTTCACTTTGGGTAATTTTCACTCTCGTTGCATGAATCAGCGAGCCATGAATTTTCACAACTGATGAGTTCCATTGAAAAAGGCATCCTGAATGTCAGAGTTCAGGCGGAAAGTGAAAGTTAATTTACGACATAGGCATGCTGCAGGGCGCATGTGAGTCATGGCGCCTTGACTATGGTTAATGCCATAACAAATGCCGGCGAATGATGATATCCTTTTCCAGGAATTGTGGCCTGAATCAGTCGATGTTGTCGCAGACAAATAAGCGGCAGCTGCCACCCATGCCACCCCATTTAGCCACAACAGAACATTTTCATTCATTAAAGCGTTGTGGCGCGGAAAAAGCTTTACTTGCGCGAACTTGTGTGAGTCACGCTCACGCAACACTGCGAGAAATTTTCCAGACAGAGCCAGTTGTTTGTTTCGCAATCCGCCTTCGATGTCGCGACGTCAACGTGACTCAGCGCAGCTCGGCTCAGGTAAGCTTCGCTCAGCTGGTAAATGAGCCGGAGATTGTGACGTTGTGTCTTTGCTGCGCTCTCGCGCTCTCTTGAGCCGCGCTTGCACTTGCTGTCGACGGCCATGGCTGCGTCATGCCCCTTGCTTTGGGTCTTCGTTTAAACTGTGATCTTTGTTTTTGTTTGCCCTATCATCGAGCGAAAAGCTCATCGCTTGGCGGTAACTTTAATGGCGTCTGCGTGACTTGTTTTGCTCTTCTTCTGGCTTCCAGTTTAGTCTTCAGTTCGCTTGCGATGTGATCGGTCGGTCGGTCGGACGTCGATAACGTGTGCTCTTAACTGTGTTTTAACGTCTTACAAAACAGCGCGCGCGCGAATGCTAAAAGCTCCCTCTCTCTCGCTCTCGATCTCTCTGTCTCTGTGACTGTGCCTCTCTTCTGCTGCGCACTTGTGGCGCAGACAAGTTAAGAAAACCTGTGCATGCCAAGTGTAGACAAATTGTAGATAAAAATAAAATGAAAACGTAAAAAAAGGTGCATTACAAATGATCAAAGTTTCACCTGCAAGCTTTAAGTTTAGCAGAGAGTACAACGCAAAGCATAACGCAAAACAAAAACCATAACAATAACAACAAATTCATATTTGTGACGGGCCCAAATGCACGTACTTTCGATAATATGGCTAAGAATTTAATGTTTTGCCGATTAGATTACGCCACACCAAATTGTTGTCGGACGCCGCGCTGAGATCTCGCCAAAGCGCCAAAGTTATACAAAAGCTTGCCAGACAATAACAAAAAAAGTAACAGTCTGCTTACACGCTTTGCATATACATACATATATATATATATGTGTGTGTGTGTGCGTGCACACACATTATCGAATACAAATTAAGTCCGCCGCCGCTGTTGCAAAAACAAAAACATTATGATGATCGCATAAGCATAAAGCCCGGAATTCCCAAAAAGAAAACGACGTCATTACAAAAGCGCGCGCTCACGCTCTCCCTCTCACCCCTTCCCCCTCCTTCTGTGTTGCTATCTCTCTTTGCTTGTACTCTTTCTTCTGCTCTCACTAGCTGACGCTCACGCTCACGCTCTCGCTTTCGACGACACTTCACCGTAAACTTCGATTTCTTAGAGTTTCGTTAGTTTTCAATTTTTGACTTTGTGCTCGGTACTTTTTGTTTCTTAAAACATTTACTGTTGTTGTTATTATTGCTCTTTTTTCTATCTCACACTTTTCTTTGTCTCCGCTTTATTATCGCACAGTTTATTTAGTTCGCCGTGTGCTTGTCGCATTAAATCGTGTTTTTTTTCGTGCAAAAAAATTAAATTAAGCTAAGAAAAATTATTTATGTACATTTATTCAAATGTAACTGAAATACCGAACCGGTTTCTGTAGCATGTTGTTATTTTGTGTGCATTATAGACATTGAAATAATTTGTATTGTTGTCGATGCAACAAATAAATAGGAAATACTTGTTTACTTAGCTTATTTACGTAACAACAGTATTCTTCGATATTCTCCCGTAACTGTGGAGTAGAGAAAAACCTAGCTTTTAAAGTGTTTTGTACGTGTTTGATTTCAGATCCCAAATTGTACCGAATTTCGCATTGAAAGCTATAACAGTACAGCTATAAAAACCAAAAAGCAACACTCGATGCATTTTAAGTTTTCATTAAAAAAAACATTAATTTAGGTAAGTACATGAACAGTTTCAAAGGGGATAGGGGGCTTACATTTCGAATGTATGTATTTCTTTTATCCATATACCGCGGGAATTTTCTATTTGGAATGAGTGTAAGCCCAATCTGACGTACAGAAATTTCATATATACAATCTTACGGTGCTCTGATATCCGAAATACAATATACAATACAATATTATAGCCTAATATCACAGCCAATATATCTTACATTTTTCCAAATCCAGCATTTTTGGCGAATGAGAAGTATGTTGCCTGTATGTTTTCCGATAGGAAAGCACATTTTTCAAATATCTTTCATTTACTACCGACAAATGACATATGTATTTTGGGCATAGTGGAATCAGCCTATAATCACCCAATTGGTGCAGATGGTAGCCCAATTTTCATTTTAGTGTATTTACAACCCCTTATAAAAGCTTTCAGCACAAGCTTCCTCTCTAACTCTCCTCCTCTCTCCATCCATACTTATTCTCTTGTGTGGATTTAATCGTATGGCGTATATACAAACGATAAATTGAAACAGAAAACTAAAACACCTGTGTACATGGCAGCGCAGTCGCAGTCGCTGTCACAGTCGCAGCACGCGTCGCATCCAACATCGCCTAAAAGTTTACTACTCAGTATGTGTATGTGTGTGTGTGTATGTGTGTGTGTGTGTGTGTGTCTGTGGAGGGTGTGAGGAAAGCTTTGCCGCTTCGTTTTTGTAGGCACTTGCATTTGTTTAGGGCGTCAAAAACGGCACGAGAATTTTCAATTGTGTTTCATTCGAAGATCGACTCGATGCGTTTGCGGTTCTGTTGTCCGGATAAATTCACAGCGGAAATTACCACGCGATTAATCACTTCTTACCCGACTAACTTGTGTGAAAAGCAAAAAAAAAAGAAAAATTGAAGAACAAATCGTTGATTTTGTTTAAAATTCCATTAAAAAACACATCAAATAATTTTCGAAAATATATATAAAAATGTAAATTATAGTTTAACTTGTCCTTGGCTAAGACTACAGGTAATTAAAGATGTGATGTTTCTTGCTAATTCAACGTAATTTTATATTGCACAAACGGCATGCAAAACCGGCTGCTGACTCAGTATATTTAGTGTTAAATGTGTGTGAGAGACAAACAACAACAACAACAACTGCAAATATAGCAAGTCATGAAGAGTATAGTTATCTCAACTGTGCGATATACAATATAAAGCTCTACTTGTGTAGACTGCGAGCTGAAGCCAAGTCAATAAACGACATTTCATGGAACAAACCCGGGATTTAACTGAAGTTGAGCTCCGCTATGGCATAGGAATCATTCTGTCAATCATTAATCAAAAGCAAACACATTGAGCTATTACAAGCCGAAAAAAAAACAAATACGTAAAGTACAGATTCAAAGTACTTCAGTTCAACATTATAAACGAAATTTGGTATCCTAGTTTGATTTGTCATATATAATAGATTCCTGCTGCAGTCGTTTCTCCTACCCCTTTCAAGCAAGTCTTGCTTGTACTTAAGAATATTAATATTAAAATGGAGTCGATAGACAGCTTCGATATAAAATTACTAACGGGTATTGCCCGGCCTTGCCCGTGACAAGTTTTGCGCTAAGAATTGTGTATATAACCTTTTCACCAGTGTTGTACTAACGGTTTCCGCCCATGTTAGTATTGTGGTGGGAATTTTGAAGCTGAATTTCTTAAAACATAGCCCAACAAATCTTTGAATTGGATTTTCCACCGAGGCAGCTTGGATGCTGCGAAAAGTGTGAAACACGTCTTAAATGAATTTTTGTATAGATCTTTGGAAATAAATAAAAATTTGGAACCCATTTCCACCAAGAAGAAAAGTATGAAACACCCCTCAAATGAAGTTGAGCAAAGATCTGAAAATAAGGTTTGAGGTCAATCCGATGGTAAACTAAAAAGTTTCATACAAACGTTTTTTCCACACGTGCGGGTGGAATTTCTTACGGGTTGAGCTGTGCGTTTTTCACCAATCAATCAGTCACTCAGGCAATCACTCGGTCAATCAGTCAGTCAGCAAAAACAGTGTTATGTATATAGATGAACAGAAAGAATCTAACTTTCTAGTTCTCGATTTGTCAACGGCAGCGTCAGCTATTAATTTATTAATTTTAATCTTAATAATAATATATCCAAATTGAAAATAGAGTCGATAGCATATATAAAATTATGAGCTTAAAGAAGACAAGACTCGACAAGAACTGCTTCAATTTGAAAGTCGGAACTAGTTCTAGATTGGTCAACGACAGCATCAGCTATCCGTTATTTATTTGTATTTTTATTTTACCAGTAAATTGCTTGACGCCAGCAATCATTAAAGTTTTCTTGTCCAAACATATTGGCGACAAGTCGGCGTCTCGCTGTGAATTCCCAACTAGTTGGAGCTTGTTTTGGGCCAGGTTAAAGAATTCGCTGCTACTTTTGTTGTTGATCTTAATTTTAATGTGTAGAGCCTGGCGCCAAAAGTTTTTTTTTTACCCCCTGCAAATAGCATAAAATTTGAATATTTAATATTCAACAGATTCCATTCTATTGGCGCCGCTTAGTTAATTTCTTCTCCAATTGTCTCCCTCTTCTCTCTCTGTCTGTCTCTCTGTATGTCACATTGTTTTCTCTCTTTCTTTTCCTATCATTAATCAACTTTATGGATGCAAACTTCTCTTTTTTTACGGTTTTGTGAATCAATTCTGTTCGGTTTCAATCTACCTTCTGGAACTCTCGCAACTAGCACATTATGGCCCGACATGTTTTTATATATCATCGATTATTTTATTTGTATACTACGCCGTGCCATATCATTCTATCTGATACGCATATTTCTGTAGCCTATCTGAAAGCCGGCAATTCGGTAGCTTATCTGCAGCGTTTTGTGCGTACCGTTTCCAACTGTTTTATTGGGCATGTATGTTTTTATGCCCTAAGCCCTGAAAAAGTGTGCTTATGTATGTATGTAACAGGCAGATGGAAGCATCTGAGATCCCATAAAGTATATGGTATATATTCTTGATAAACATCAATAACAGAATCGGGCTCTGTCTGTAACCCATAATTCCGCCGACATATCTTCCTTTTTTTCTGGCGATATTTTGACGTTTACGTTCTAGATCCGCCGATCCAAAAGTACATACATACTTCTCCGCCTTCGGTGTTGGTAGAAGATATTACAGAGTATCCCCTAGTCGGGCACTTCCGAATAGATCTCGCTTACTTGTTAGTATATGGGAAGATGCTATAAACAAATCCGGGACAATTATATAAATAAATAAATAGTTATATTTTTTACTTATGAAACCAATAGTTGTAGTCTAATAATAACCCTTTTTTGAATGAACTACATTTTTTATATGTTAAACCAATTGAAACTAGCTACTAATGTTATCTTATCTCTTATCGACTTTAGATAAAGTAGCATAAAGGCACCGAGCACGAACATTAGGATTAGGGGACTCTAAAGACAAAAGACTGAATAAAAAAAGGCATTATAAGAATATGTGACAATTTACTGGGAATATTAAAAAGTGTTAGCAATTGTTGCCATGTAACCAGATAAAAAGTTATCATGACAGAAGCCTGATCTATAGTACAACCTACCAGCCCCTAACTGCTCAGGGTAACTGACCTTACGCTCCTTTAGAACTGGTTTGAATTTCTATGCGATTCACCTCCATAAAATATCATCACACAAGCGACAGAGCACGCGTTTTGTGAATGATTCGGTTCTGTGCAGCGTTGGCCACACGAGCGAATTCCTGGCATATTCAAAATTATAGATACCCCCATTATATATCCGAAACGTAATGATTATCTTTGCCTTGTGAGTCACAATATTCTTGGAAATTCTTTGGGTTTTGTTAAAAACAAAAACATTTTGTACAAGTCGCTTTTTGTATATAATTATCACAAATTTTATAATGCACATGTGCTCGACAAAGCAATACACACAATTATTATAATATAGTGTATAGAGGGAAAGGCATTTTCTTTTTATACCCTTGCATCGGGTATTGTCATTTTGTCTCTGAATCGAACCACTATATCATATAACTAGTGGAAGATATCATATAATAGGATACATCTGATACATTTATGGAAAGTCTTATTTACATCGAGATACTATATCATCTAGTTTCCAAAGGAATGATCGGTCGCAAAGGAGGTTATTGTATGGAAAACTTTTTTGCTTATCAAGATATCTTAACCACACTCGGCATTTATGAGTTTTACTATGCTCCTCATATCACCGTCGGACCACTATAACATATAGCTTCCATTGGAAATATCGGTCGAAAATTAAGTGGTTCTATAAAAAACTTTTTTGTTTATCAAGATATCTTAACCAAACGCGATATAAACTATTTTCCCAGTGCTTCTTAGATACAAATAAAGCATAATGAAAAACTTCGGTCTGCAAGGGTATTAAATCTTCGGCGTGCTGATGATAGCCCTTCTTTCTCGTTTCGTATTGAGACGGCGCCAACAGCCCCTAAGAAAGAAATGTTGACAAGTGTCTTCGCTGTGACCACTGAACGGAAATGCCAATAAACGCCAGATCGCCAGATGCCTAATGCCGAATGCCTAATACCTATTATATATCTACCTGAATAATGTGTTTATTGTGTACATCATGCAGAATTGCGTTCTGACAGCGCACTTTTCAGTTGCAGCGCCTTTACATACACAGCAATTAATTCGTTTAGATTAACCAATTTCCACCGAAAACTAACTTATCTTGTTGCATTAATTCATTTTTATACTCAATACACTCTCTTTGCAACAGCTATAGGGTGTATGAGGTTGTTCAAATCTATATACAGTTAACTTAAAGCCTGAAGAGATGAAAGAATTTCATCCAAAATATTGCTTATCTTGTTTCATATATTTATTACTATACTCTTTCTTTCCAAAAACTAAAGGGCATGTTAAGTCGAGCACATTGCAAACAAATAGCATAAAGATACATACATTTTTATGAATTTTGTATGTCAATCATGTTTTTACAATTATATTATGTTTTTATATTTATATTTTTATTAAATCGCTTACGATTGGCAAAGGGTATCTTCTAGTCAAGCAGCCTCGAGCTTAGCATACATATGCATGCTTTTTTTCTCAATGAATTTTTGTGACTCAACTTTATTGGAATTTAAATATGCATATCTTAAAACTTGTTATAATCAACTTAAAAAATATGTTTCTAGAAATCATATAAAATATTTTTAAACGGATTCTGTTTGCAATTTCATGTTATTTTTTTCTCCCCCCTTATCAATTGTTAAACAGTTGTAACAGCTGAGTATCAGCTCCATTTGTTGTTTGTATTATTTATTTGCATTAATTTCAGTCCATAATAGCCTTTTTTCTAGTATTTTTCTAACGATTTATGGACACAAGTGTCTAAAGGTTTATTGACATCGCCAACAGAGTCCATTCACCAGCAATTTTTCTATGGTTCAAAATATTAACTAAATATATATGCTACTTTTTTGTATAGTCAGTTTTAACTAAATCAAGAACATTGTTTATAAAACTCTGATGGATTCTCGTTGAAAGCCCTCAAAAACAAATATACAGTGGAACATGAATGTTGCATTAAGCACACATACACTTATTGAAAAAAGAAAATTAACAATTTAAAAGACAAAATTGAGATAAAAATATCAGAAAGCTTCTTGATTCCGACGACAAAAACTTTTAGGGAAAAGCGTATACGAAATTTTTCGAATGAATATTTGCTCGCTTTCATTTTCGCTGCTCAGTCTATGGCCGATAGGCGAGAACCCAGGACGTGCGTTTCGAAAAATAAAATTCAAATATATATAAATATACATATATACACACATATATATATGTGTTTGGGAAAATCGTGCTCGTATTAATAAAATTTCGCTTTTTTTGCGGTACCTGCGCGAACCGGTCAAATCCGCAAACGAAAAGCAAATATAGTGAGGCATTCAAGAAATTATTATTAAAAAAAAAGCCAAAGAATTGAAAAAAGTTTGTTTAAAAACCGGACAAATTTGGAACATTTTGTGAGCTAAGACAAACATTTAAATAGATACAGTAAAAGGTGATTATTGAGAAAAACTGTCTGCTAGATAAAAAGATAGATATACAGATATCTAGTATATATGTATATATATCTGCAGTTATTACAAATATTGGCTTTTGGCCAATTGGCCTATTCCATATTTGCCTAATGCAACAATTTATGACGTAATTTTTGTAATATTGTGTGTTTGTCCTCGAGAATCGATAATCGAGATTCTACATTGTCAAAAAAAAAAAAAAACATAAAAGAAATGCACAAAATATATCAACGATCATTTAATGTATTTTATATTTATATACAAATTGTATATATATTATGTATATATAAAATAAATGTGTGCGTGGTCGGTAAAAGCCAAATTGTAAATGACAGGCACATTTGGCTTTTGGCTTCGCTTTGCTCTTTCCGATAAATGCCGATTTTGTCTATTATTTAAACTGGCAGATCGAGTTCATATTCAAAGGTCTATTTAGACACAGACATATGCTGGCTGCCTCCAAAAGATTTATGTGTCTAGTTTAGTTTCCTTCGCAAATAGTTTCACGCGCAATTTATAGCATGTCATATATCTAAAGCTACATTTTGTGCAATCATTTAATAATTATAATCAAAAAGAAATAATTAAATAATTCCCTGGACTTTCGGAGAGCGTACATCTAATGTTTCTTATAGATGCTGTCAAAAATTGTCAAAAAAAAAAGTCTAAAATAATTTGATATGTCTTCAGTCTTTATTAATTACCCCAAAGATTACAAAATCGCCAACTCGTAGACACGTTCTTTTGCTTTTATTATTCTTTTTATTTATTTTGCTTCTAATTTACCCCATGCCTTGCTACAGACCAATTGACGTATTCTTTTATTGGCAGACCAATGTCTAGACGTGAACGAATCGAAAGTCTGAGGTCATATGGCTATAGTATATTTTTATATAAGATATATGTATAAAAGTGCCGACAGAAAGTTGCTTAGTCAAATCCCAACTTTGTTTTGGAACGCCACATCTTTGGGGAGGCCACTCTCCGTGCGAGTCTATATCTGTCTATGTCTCATCTATAGCTAAATCTATATCTATAGTATACTACCTGCTCGTGTCGGGCACTTGTACTACTGCAAAGATCCGCAGCGGAGCATTTTGTCGCTTACGCATTACGCAAAATGTTATTTTTAAATGAATGTCCGAAGCTGGCTACGGCCTGGCCTGGCCCAGACCAGCAGCCGGTTCCACGAACACGAGCAGGCACACTTTTTCGGTCAACTGCATTTTTGAGGGGATCAACAAATGTAAAATAATGTCTATACACTCGAGTGTAAAACAACAACATATGCAAACGCCCACGTTTTATCATTATACCCTTTCAGAGGGTATTATAATATTGTCGTAATATGTGTAACGCATAGAAGAATACATCTCCGACTTCATAAAGTATATATTCTTTATCAGTATGAACAGCCTAGTCGATGTAGCCATGCCCGTCGGTCCGTCTGTTCCTCTTTCTGTTGTGCGCAGTGCAGTGCAGCATGTCGGATCAGACCACTATATCATATACACTTCCGTAAATGTTACGTAAAATCTTATTTACATCGGACTACTATATTATATAGTTTCCATTGGAACAATTGATCGAAAATAAAGTTATAAGAAAAACTTTTTGGTTTTCAAGATGTCTTAACCAAACTCGGCATTAACTATTTTCCCTGTGCTCCTTAAATACGATCAAAGCATTATGAAAAGGTTATGTCTGCAGGGTATTAAATCTTCGGCGTGCCGAAAATAGTCCTTCTTTCTCTTTTTGCTCGTTTTGCAGTTAGTTTCTGTGTTCAGTTCTGTCTAGACTGCAAATCACTAGGGTTTTGGATAAATCACAGGGTCTAGTCTGTTTACCTATGCTGAGAAAATAATTTGTATATTTAAGAAGAAAATTTCGCGGAAATCGGGTATTATTTTTAATGTGCGTCGTCATTGTCGCCGTCGGCGTCATTGGTTGCCAAGAATTTTCGGACGCGGGTCTCTTTTGCAGCTAAACTAAAACGAAGCCATTTTCCGTTCGATCTTCTTTTGCAGCTAATATTTCGGCCTTGAAATGTTTCCAAATCAAAATAATTTGGCCGCTGCGGGTGCAGCCGGTGATCCCCAGCAGCAGAGCCTCAACTACAATGGCCTGCAACAACAACAGCAACAACAACAGCAACAACAACAGCAGCAACAACAACAAACTCAACAATTGTCACAGTCAACCAAGAATGTGAGGAAGAAACCGTATGTGAAGATTACGGAGCAGCCAGCCGGTAAAGCGTTGCGTTTCCGCTATGAATGCGAGGGACGCTCGGCGGGTTCCATACCTGGCGTCAATTCCACACCCGAGAACAAAACCTATCCGACCATCGAGATTGTCGGCTACAAGGGACGCGCCGTTGTCGTCGTTTCCTGCGTCACCAAGGATACGCCATATCGGTAATATGAGAGATTATAATAAGCACACAAATAGCTTGAATAGATCAGCATAAGAAGATTTGGAGATAATCGTAGTAAAGTCTATAGAGGAGCGAGTTATCGGGGGTATTGTCATTATCACTATAATAACTATAGTTGATAGGATAGTTAGGATTGGATTCAAGATTTGAATTGTATATAATAATAATAATTGTTGATAGGATATAGTTAGAAACCTTAAAAATATTTTATAATATAATACAATATATGCAATATCTTGTGGTTCGAACGAGAATATTCGGTAAAAACCATTGTTAATTGCAATATGACTGGGCTAGAAAAGATTGGGTTATGTTCCTATGTAGAGAACAAAGTTTGGGGATCGAAAGATTGTAAAGATAAAATAAAAATGTTGTTCCTATTTCGTTTTTCGTTAAATTGGGTCATTTCAAAATTGAACTTTTTTTAACCAAAAATCAATTAAGAAATGCATATATCAAGAGTTTGATATCTTGGATTGAGTCCTTTTACTTTGGGTTTACTTTGGTCTCATTTCCTTGATCCACAGGCCACATCCGCATAATCTGGTGGGCAAGGAAGGCTGCAAAAAGGGCGTCTGCACACTGGAGATCAGCAGCGAGACAATGCGAGCCGTTTTCAGCAATTTGGGCATCCAGTGTGTCAAGAAGAAGGACATCGAGGCGGCGCTGAAGGCGCGAGAAGAGATTCGCGTGGATCCGTTCAAGAGTAGGTGCCCAAATACTCCTTTTTTGAATATATTAATATTGAATTTCTTCATATTTAGCTGGGTTCTCGCATCGTTTCCAGCCGTCGAGCATTGATCTGAACTCGGTGCGTTTGTGCTTTCAAGTATTCATGGAGAGCGAGCAGAAGGGACGCTTCACATCGCCCCTGCCGCCAGTTGTCTCCGAACCGATCTTCGACAAGAAGGCCATGTCCGATCTGGTTATTTGCCGTCTGTGCAGCTGCTCCGCGAGCGTGCTGGGCAACACCCAGATTATATTGCTGTGCGAGAAGGTGGCCAAGGAGGATATCACGGTGCGCTTCTTTGAGGAGAAGAACGGTCAAACGGTGTGGGAGGCCTTGGGGGATTTTCAGCACACGGACGTGCACAAGCAGACTGCCATTACGTTTAAGACTCCGCGCTATCACACACTGGAGATAACGGAGCCCGCCAAGGTGAGCCAGTCGATCCTCTAGAGCTTCCTCTCCAACTAAATGGGAATTCTTGTTGTCGCGCAGGTTTTTATCCAGCTGCGTCGACCCTCGGACGGCGTTACCAGCGAGGCTCTGCCCTTCGAATATGTGCCATTGGATTCAGGTAGGCATACGTTCTGGAATCTTCATCGGCATCTCAAGCGAAAGCCCGATGAAGACATCTTTCAGCAAATTCTATCGGTCGATACGGGCGCCGCCAAGCGCGAGCCGCCCACGATTGAGGTTATTGATCTAAATACGCCCACCTTGGAGCAGCCGGAGCCGGAGCTGCGACTGTTTGACGGGACGACGGAGGCGGTGGATGTCACAGAGCAAGCGCCGCAGGACATGGAAGCAGCGGATGCAGAAGCGGAAGCGGAGCGTTTGCGCACGGAACAGGAAATCGATACGATTATCGATGAAAAGGTGCGCGAATTGGAGCAACTGGAATTGGAGCAGCAGATGGCGGCGCCAGAGCCGCACCAGTTGACGGCCAACGACAAAATCAACGAGTGGATGAAGTCCAACGAGCTACAGGAACAGCCCCACGAGCCAAGCCCAAGTCCGGCTGAAGTCGAGGCTGACGACAGCGATGCGACCGAGGCAACGGTCGAGACGCAGGTGGCCACCACGGAGGAGGACAAGACGCTGAACGAGCTGCTCGAGCAGGTGGCCGAGCTAGATGAGATCTACACGGACTTTGTGATGCAGCGCGACACCTACAACAACACGCTACAGAACGAGCTGCAGAGCATGGACCGGCCGCCCATGCAGGTAGACGACAGCTTCGACGATGCCGCCACCTACACAAGTCTGCAGATCGCCTACAAGCATCCAGTCGATATACCCATGGAGGATATAATGCCACCAACTCCGCCTATGTCCCAGTGTGCGCCAGAAGATGCGCAGCATTACGATGCAGTGGAGGTCAACTCGCAGCAGGAGAGGACTCAGGAGCCGCAGGAGCGGACTCAGGAGCGGAAGCAGCTGGAACTGGCGGCTGCCCAGCTACTTTCCGCCTCCGAGGAGGAGAAGTTGCCGCCGCTGCCGCCTAAGCGTTTGCGCAAGCAAGACAGTAATGCCGAGAATCGCTCCATAGAGGCTAACAACGGGGATGCGGCACCTCCAGCCGTGCGCGAAAAGGCACGTGGCCTGCCGCCGCCCATAATTCATCCGCGCATATCCGAATTGCCAACCGCGCCCACAAAACGCTTGCCACAGCCGCCGGAGACCAAGTCCAAAAGCAAATCCACAACGAATCCCAACTTCAATACGCTGCCGCGGCAGAAGAAGCCCGGCTTCTTTTCGAAGCTGTTCTCGCGCCGCAAGAGTAAACCGGAGCTAATGCAGCAGAGCAGTGAGAATTGTTCCAAGGCAACCAGCGCAGCGGCTAGTCGGGAGCCCAGCCTGGATAATCTCAATATGCGCGATCCGCTGCGTGCCTCGCAGCGCTCCTCCAAATCGAATCAAACAGCCAGCTCGGGTCCGTTGAAGTCGGGCGCGGCACGAAAGATCGGTAAGGCTGGGAAGCCCTGCGGACGCAGCGTGAGCAGCGTGTCCGGCAAGCGACCCTCTTACCTAAATGCGGACGTGGTGCACATACCTCTAAAGGGCGACAGCACCAGCAGCCTGCAGCAGGCGCCGCACGAGGCCTACTCGAATGCCAGCACGATTACGGTGGGCGGCCAGTTGGATAGACGCACTGCATCCGCATTGCAGCTGGCCGAGATACCCATCAGCGAGGGCGGCATGGAGCTGGTGGCCATTGCCGATCGCCAGAGCCTGCACAATTTGGTCAGCTCCATTGAGGCGCACTTCAACGTGAAAATGGATCCCAATCTCGATCTCACCGAGGTCGAGCACTTTGCGCTCTATACAAGTGTGCCGCCCCAGGCGACGGCCAGCGAATTCGACGAGACATCCGCCTACTATGCCCAGGTGGATGCCGGCGAGATTCTAACACCTGACCAGGTGGCCAAACGCTTGGCGGCGGCAAATGGCAATTAATTTTTGTTATTGAAATTGAATATTGAATATTGTAATTTTTTGATAGACCAGAAAACAATTTGTGTCTGGTCAGCTGCGGAGGATTGCATCCAGGCAGCAATTTACACTTGGCAGCGGAAAGCCGTAAAGCTTTCCCCGAAAAATTTGTAATTGTATTTGTTTTAGATTTATTGAACCGAAACCCCCCCATTTTGTAAGCGGTAGTCGTAGTCTCAACTACCCGAACGAAATTTGATTTGTGCAGCAGCGCGTTTTCCCCAAAGGGAAAGGGAAAATCGTTGCGCGAATTTGTTTTGAGCGGGCGCCGGAAAAGTGCGCCCGATTTTGTATTTAATAGATTCGTCTAAGTAATCTAAGCCGAGTCAAGACTTGTCCAACAATTTGTCCCCTTTGTAAACTCTTTTTTATAGATCCAGCACACCTGAGGCGGAAACGTCAAAAGACTGGCGGCGATCCCATGCACCTGCTGCTCCAGCAGCAGCAAAAACAGCAGCATCAGCTTGAACCCCAGGATGGGAGTAAGTTTTATAGAATTTTTCACTTACCTGGTTGCGGGCTTTGTCTTTTGTGGTGCTGGTTTACTTGTCCCGTTCTCACCTGTCCAGTTTGTCTCGTTTGTCCCTGTGGTTTTTTTATCAGGTGTGTTTTGGCGGATGCAACTATTTGTTGCGTGTGTTGGATAAATCCAATCCGAGCGCAGTTTTGTTTGAGTGTGACATCGATTAGTCAATTGATAAGAAAATCAAAACAGATCCTACCTATTTAAGTATGCTCGACCCAAACCAAAGACTTGGCAAGCTCTATGATGTATTAATCGTATAGACTATTAGAAAATATTCAAGTTATCTGAAACGAAAAATAAAACCAACGCACAATATTTAAAACTATGCAAAAATAAATACAAATTATATTTAATTAAATACGTAGTAGAAATATATAGTAGCAATATTGTTGTTGGAATTAAAAAAAAAAAAAAAAAAAAAAAAAATGTTTGTCGCTTTGCATAAAACACAAAGAACAATTTGATATTTTTATACAAAAACCAAATTATTGAATATTAAAAGTAATCAAAACTATTTTATAAAACGTGTAGATTAATAAAAAAAAATATATATAAATCGAAAAAATCGAATGTTAAAGTTTTAATATTGTCGAGCTAAAGAAACAATTAAACGGTGTAAGTTTTGAGCATGACAAGTTTTGCATGAGTTAATATTTTTTACAAAATCTTCAATCATAGAATTCGCCTTTTATTTTTCTGCCCTTTTTCTAATACTCTTTATTTTGCTATAAGTTAAATTTTAGTTTTTATTCAAAATAAAATCACAAACTTCGCTTTTATTTTCTGCCCTTTTACGAAAGCTCGTTTTATTATTTTTTTTATTTATTTATTTCGTTGCTCTAAGTAAGATTTTATTTTTTTATTAGCTCAGCTTTTGTTGCTTTATTCCTAGCTTTGTTTTATGTAATATTTTTTTTTTTTTATTTGCTTTGATTTTGCTAACATATTTGTGCACTGCTTTTAGGACAAAACAACATGAACTGTTGGAACGCACAGAACATACCGCCCATTAAAACCGAACCGAGAGGTAAGCACAACTTGACAGCTTATGAACTGACTGCTAATTAAATGTTTGCAAATGTTGCAGACACCTCACCGCAACCGTTTGGCTTATATCGGGCGCCGCCAGAATTAACGCCTTCGCCGCAGCCATTGTCCCCCGCAAGCAATTACAATCAGAACAGCACGCCGTCGCCCTACAACATGACAGCGGCAGGCTCCGGCAATGGCCAACAGCAGCAGCAGCAACAGTTGATGTCGCCCAATCATCACCAGCAACAGCAGCAGCAACAGCAATATGCTGCTCCGGGTGCTGGCAACTTGGAGTTGGGCAACAACTACAATCCTTTTACGCAACAGCTGTTGGCACAGCATCAACAACAGCAGCAGCAGCAACAACAGCAGCAGCAACAACAGCAGCAGCAACAACAGCAGCAGCAGCAACAACAGCAACAGCAGCAACAGCAACAGCAACAGCTGCAATATAATCCCAATCCGAATCCAAATCCGTTTGCCACGCATTGGGAGAGCAAATTCTCGGCAGCTGCTGTGGCTGCTGCTGCTGCGGTGTCGGCGGCGCCAACTGTTGCTGTTGGCAACGGCAACAATTTAAGCAATCTCAACAATCCATTTACCATGCACAATCTGCTGACCTCAGGCGCGGGCGCGGCCAGCAATCTGCAATGGAATCTGACCACGAATCACTTGGTAGGTTCGCAAGCCTGAAATAAACTCAACTTCATTCAATAATAATTTTTATACTTTGCAGCAAAATCAGCATACTCTGCAGCAGCATCAGCAGCAACAATTGCAGCAGCATATTACGCCCATGCATCAGCAGTACGACAACAATGTTGCTGTCAACAACAACAACAACAACAACGATAACAGCAACAACAACGCAAACAACAATGAGAATGGTCCCACGATCAGCAACCTGCTTAGCTTCGACAGCGAGCAGTTGGTTCGCATTAACTCGGAGGATCAGCAAATGTTGCGCCTCAATTCAGAAGATCTGCAAATATCAAATCTATCAATATCTACGTAATACCTTGCTAAGCTCTGTTGTGTTAGTCCCTAAGTCGTCTTTTATACAAATGTAAAATCTGTGTGTTTTTAGCATAATATTTTCAATACGAATAAATTAATCGTTTTAGCAGTTAATAAATCATTTCCAAGTTTTTCTAATCAATAGCAAAACGGGGTGATTTTCTTGGCTGATAAAACTATATGGAAAGCTGCATTCAATAGGATTTTAAGGTAGCACAACCCAAACCCCTAGTGAATGTCTCTCCTTGACTGCAAGCCTCGTTAAAACTGAACCAATATTTTAAAATTCGAAGTATACATTCAGAAATGTTAATATTTTCTAAATTAATTGCTTAAATAAAAGAAATTAAGGGAAAGACAATCAAGGAACGCCAAATTGCACGTGGAATCAATTATAAACAAATTTTTAAATTCATTTCTTGACTGCAAGCCTCGTTAAAACTGAACCAGTATTAATATTTTTTTAATTTAAGTGGAACGACCAACTTTTAAGTGAACAAAACAATTTTAATTGTTTACTTGAATTCCGTTACTATATAGAAAACGCCAAAAAGAACTTCAAGGAACGCCAAAAAAAAAGGAACGTGCAATTATAAATTATAAACAAATGCCTACTGAAGAATACTATTTTCTGATTACCCGGCTATCCTCGGCTCCGTCGGCGCCACCGGCGCCGCCATGGAAAAGTCCACGCAGCTTTTTGACGGCACATGGCAGAGATGACATGGGCAGAGCTGGCGGGGGCGTGCCGGGTAGCATGCAGTAGGCGACAAAGTGCATGAGGCGATAGGTGGCATGTTGATAGGCCTGGCTCTGGGCGAAGCACTGGCGGATGCGCTGACCCACCGTGGCGGCGAGGCAGTTCTGCAGCGTGAGCAGCTGCTCGTCCTTCAGCTTGATATCTTTCTCCAGCTCCTCGGAGAGCTTCATCAGTTTACTAGGTGGGAGAAATAATTAGTGAATCAAATAATTTGTTTTAGTGAGAAATCTCACCTGATTTGTAGCTCCTTTTCGCACTTGTGCTCAACCAGGCTTGTGCGGGACAGCTGCAGCTCCTCGGCAATGCGGGCAATATTTTCACGCAATTTCTCCACGTATTCTTGCTTTTCGGCCAATTCTGATCTCAGGGAATGCAACTGAGACGTCAGCTCCTCGATGTCGAACTTGGCAGCCTGGCACTCGAGCTGAACGCGTGCTAGCTGCTCGAGCTGCTCCCGCTGCAGCGTATTCGCCTGAAAGAGTTCCTTTTTGGTCGCCTGCAGCAGCTCCTGCAGATTCTCAATTTCCTGCGTCTTGTAGGCGTTCTCCTGCGCCAACTGCTGCTTCTCCTGGTTGGTTTGGCTCAGCAGAATGTTGAGCTCATTGTAAGACAGCTTTGTCTTGGCACTGTCCATGTAGGATTGCTTCAGCTGATCGTTCAGAGTATCGTTGCGACGCTTCTCCACAGCAAAAAGCGTGTTGTAGACATGCAGCTGATTTCGACTCTTTACAAACTACAAAAAAGAGTTGTAAGTCGCTTCCAATGGAATCTTGTGAACTTACGCTGCGCTTATAGTCCTCAACCTGTTCGCTAAGATGACGCACTTCCTCGCGACGGCGGCGCCAGGAGCGCAACATGATAGTATTGAAGATGCGCAGACTGGCAATGCGCACATCCTGATCTCCGTTGACCACAAAGCGCACATTACCCTCCCGAGTGCCGCACAGCTGGGCCGCGTCCTGCATCAACAGCTGAGTAAGGCTGTCGTCCTTGATGGTCAGCTTACGGCCCTCTGGGTGTTGGGCAGCCGGCACCAGGGCGTTCGAGTTGGGCACATGAGCCACCAGCTGATAGTTGCCGGTACGCCGAGCCTCCTTAAAATCCATTTGGGACACAGATTTGCGTGCTCGAAAGTTCAGCATTGCCGCCGTTTGTTGCCGCTTGAGTGTCAGGTACGGAGGCAGTGCAGCAGGCTGCGCCTCCGCCTCCGCAGTCTTCTCCAGCTTTGGCTGCACTGTATAGGTAGGCACACCCGCTCTGGACATGCTTGTGGTGAGTGAGATTTCCGAGGAGGAAGGTGTGAGCAGCACAGCCTTGGGTATTTTTAAGATCTGGACATTTTCCTTGCTCTCGATGCTGTAAAACAAGCTTTTCAGGAAAAGCACATAAATTGCCATCTGGACTCACCCCTGCAGCTTCTTCTGCATGCGCTGGCTATAGCTTTGGGGGCGACGCTTCTTCAGCACAGATCCGACATTGTAGGGTGCCCGGGGGGAATTCTTCTTGGAGCGGGGCGAATCATCGTTCTGCTTGGCGAGCAGCTCGTTCCTACGGATGCGCGGACTCTTGGGCCACATGTCTTACTTTTATTATATTCTTCAATTTTTCACACGTCACAAATAAATACAACTTTTTTTTTGTAAGAAGCACACAAAATTGAACGTTTTTTGCTGTAATGCGTTCAGATTATTCAGGAATATAAAACTAAAATCGTTTCAAACTGTAACAGTTCTCTAATCTAAATAAAACCCAATGCCTACTGCGCCTATATATATATATATATATATATGTACATACATTATATGCATGCGTAAATGTATGTTTCTGTCATCACAAGCTAAATCTGTAAAACTCCAGAGCCTACTTGAATACTCGAGAATCGCGTAGAATAGCACTTGGTAGAAATTCGTTTTACTTAAATTTGTAGCTCTGCTACAAAAAAGCCTGTTCTGGATTTGGTATTAGAAAAAAAACATGCATGCGTACATATATTCATAAATGCATACATACATGCATGCCTACACACACATGCATATAATACCTATAATTACTCACCCCCATAACTTGGTCAAATCTCATCCGATTTTCATGAGCTTTGACTTTTTGTTCATGTTTTGGCCCCTAGATACATTTGGCATCAAATTCTGGCAACGTTTTTTTTGGTCAAAATTCATGTAAAAATGGTAGCCTCAATTCTCCTATATGCACATAGGTTGAAATTTCCCACAGCCATAACTTGGTCAAATCTCTTTCGATTTTTACGAGGTTTGGCGTTTTGCTTATTGTTTTGTCTCTAGATGAATTTGGCATCAAATTCTGGCAACGATATTTTTTGTCAAAATTCATGTAAAAATGGTAGTCTCAATTCTCCTATATGTACATAGGTTGAAATTTCCCACAGCCATAACTTGGTCAAATCTCTTTCGATTTTTACAATGATGAATTATGAATGAATTTGGCATTTATGTCTGGCAACCTGATTCATGGTCGAAATTCATGCGATAATGGTATCCTCAAAAACATGATATAGACATAGGAGAAAATAACGCACCGCCTTTTAATCAAGATTGCTTAAAACAGAAAGAAACAGTCGGACATAGTTCTTCTGTGTGTAGAAATTATGATGACAAGTCGTGACCCTTTGCATGTCTAAAGGAACTAAAACCTTTGGGTTATTTAATTCTTATTGTAGCTGCTTTCCTTACGGGTACCTTCCGTTCACACATCCGGCAAACTTTGACGCACAGCATCCGTTCATTGATTGCGGGTCATTTGACAATTTTAGATACTTTATCCTTTTTCCGCTTCTGTACATTTCCATGGCCCGTTGGCCAGCAACGGTTTCGGCATTTGGCCATTCAAAAAAGGCATTTTGACCGCAAAAGGGAGCTTTTCTCCAGGTATTTCACCACACCACGTTTGCGCAGAGCGAAAAGCTTTTGTGGGGCTGCGGCAAGTTTTGAAATGGGCTGAAAAAAGTTGGAGTGTTTTTTTTTTGGGCCGCTTTTTGTGGTGGCCAACGGCGGCCGTTGGCGGTTTCATTATCGTCGCGGCGCTGCTGGGCAACGGTTCATTGGCACGGCAAAATCCAGAAAATCGACAGGTGCGAAATTGAACGTAACGAATTAAATTTTCGAAAAAATCAAATGCAGTCAAAAATTTTAAAAATCATTTAAGCAAAAACAAAAATACAACAAAACGTGCATTTATTGTGTTCAGTTTGATTTGAGTGTGTTTGCTTGTGTGTGTGTGTCTGTGTGTGTGTGTGTTTGTGGCTATTACGAAAATCGAATCGAACATTTTGGAAAAACATAACTTGAGTAAACAAACGAGAAGTCCATTTGGGTGAGTTTTGAAAAAGCACTATAAATAATGTCTTATGCCTTGGGACTTGTGATTTATGTGCGGTTTATTACAAAATCAGCCCCGCCCCTCAGCAACAAAACCGCCTCAAATTACAAAAATAATTGCCTGTATAGAAAAAAATATAATCGAAAATCTTACAACTGCAGATCGGCACGTTTATCAATGAAATGGGTTTAACCCAATCGAATATCAAATCGAAATCTCAATTCTAACTAACTTAATCATATGCCTCCTACCTGTCCGTTTGTTGATTCAGTCTCCAATTTTGCGTCTTGGGAAAAAGTAATTAAGCGAAATGGTTTCGAAAGACGTCATCTCCAGATTGTCGCACTCCGAACAGGTTACACGTCATCATGATTGACCAGTTAAGCATTTGGCTTTCTATATTAAAGATATTATCTGTAAATTCAGATACATGTTTGTCGCGGGCTCCCAGTTCTAGGAACATTTACTTGCCGATTCACACGAAAGCAAATGTAATACCTGCAATCAATTAATACAAAAAACAGGTCCCAAATTAAATGTTCAAGGGAATAGAGATTTTAAATGTGGAATGCATTTAAAGCTCTTCTGTATTAAATATAAATTTGTAGAACAAGTATTCCCTCATGCACGTGTAAAGTTCTAATAAAAATAATAAATATAAAAAAAATCTAATAAATGTGAAATGTCCGATAGAAAATTAATTTGTATAACAGGTATTCTCTCAGATAAATAATAAATATGGTACGTAGTTTAAGCTAAACCTATTTAGTGTTTAATATAAAGAAAATTTAATAAATGTCCGATTAAAAAGTATTTTGTGGACATGTTTTCTCCAGATATTATAATAATATATAAAAAAATATTATATTTGCAAAATGTCCGATAGAAAATGAAATTGAAGAACAAGTTTTCTGTCAGATAGAAATAATAAATAGTTCAAACTAAGCTGGAGGATAGCCCAATAAACACACTTATGTTAAATAAAATGCAGTCGCAATTGTCATGCAAATATTACAAGTTATCTGCAACCTTTATATCCAGTTCTACAAATTTGCCCCCCCCCCCCCCCTTCCATTCAACCCACACACTACACACTACCCCCCACGTCTGCAGCAATAGTTGGTTGTGCATCCACAAATCGCTGGCGCATTAATTAATTAATAGTCAGCTATACTCGAATAAAGGCGAGTCTCTATGCGAGTATACTCAAATACATGTGCGAGTAAATGGCTCGACTCGATGTTGTCGTTGCGGTTGCCATTGTTGTTGTTGTCGATTTGCTATTCCAACTAAAAGTTGACTTCGAGTCCGTCGACGTGTGTTGGTCAGTCTGTCCCCCTCCGTCTTTTCTAACGAATTGTGAAATTACTGAATACATCGATCCAGATCCGGACAACCTTGATGGCAACGTGGTCGCAGCAACTGCCATTGCATGCGGAACTCACGTTCCAGCTGCCCCAAGCGGCCGATCTCAGTGCAGCTTGTGATGTAACCAGAGTCGGTTAGTAAATTTAAAAAAAAAGAGACAGTGGCTGGAAAGTTATGCGTAACTGGAAAAGCAACGCAACGATCGCGCCGAGTTGAGAGCGTCGCCAGTTTCCGCATGGGCGCACACGCTCTCATGTGTAGTTTGTGTATCTGTGAGATACAAGTATCTGTGAGATGCATGTAGCGCAATTGCGTCTGCGCTGATGATTCATACATAATTCGGGGAATCCGAAACCGAACCCAATCAAGTGCTGCAAGCTGAAGCAACGTCAAAGCGACTGGTTTTTGTCTTTACACATATATTAGCCACATTTGTATTCCTAGTCAAGAGGTTGTCTTTCCGAAAGCTGTCTGAAAGCAACTTTTTGCCTTGGGTATGCCGAGCTTACCATAGATTTGGCATTATATTAAAAAAGAAGCCTATTAATTATACTTATAATATGATAGTAGTAGCAAAAAAAGAAGGGACATCTTTCCTGGGACTCCCTTATTAAGCAAGATTTTTCTGAGCTAAGCAGAAAAACCATTTGCACAGAGAAGGATTGTAATAAATTAAGATTTCTATGTTTTAATGAATAATTTGTATTATCAGGCAATTTTCTGTTTTCACTTATTTCCATTGTGTGATCCCTTTACCACAAAAGTTTAGCTGTTTTACGTTTTGGAAACCAAAAAGGGCGTCGATTAGTCGGTTAATTTCTACCTTTTCGTCAGCTGGCCAACATTTGAGTTCATTTTCATTTGTAATTTGTTCATCTTTTTTTTTCGGTTATCGATACGCTCTTTGGGCCTCAGTCGCAGTCTCAGTCGCAGTCGCTGCTCCGCTTGCGAGTGTCTTGAATTTTAATGCTATACGCAGCAAGTCTTTGTCTTGAGGGCGTCGGCAGCGACCTTTTGCTTGGCTCTTTTATGTTGCCTGCATGCATGTGTGTGTGTGTGTGTGTGTGTGTGTGTGAGAGTCTATGGCCTTTACTTTGCTTCGCTTTTAAAGCCAAAGGAGACAAAAACAATTACAACAACAACAAAAAGTGGTTGCCCAACTAGCAGCTCAATTGCTACTACTTTTTGCTCGGCCTCTTCGTATGACGTCTCACCACGTCTTTAGCTTCCCCTCCTTTGTTAGCGGCTCTTGAGTGCGTCGTGACCTTGGAGTGGCACATGTGCCAGAATTGCAGAAATGCGTTCGAGGGGAAGCTGAGGTGTTGTTTGAGGTGCGTGTTTCTTATCGCCTCTGAGAGAGGGGAGAGGGAGGTAGAGAGAGTATTGTGACTTTATAATTAAACATGTCCGGCAGCCAATATATGCTGTACATAATATGCAGTCAAATTTACGTAAGAGATATAGAAAGAGAGAGTATTTTGTCTTATAGCTGATATGAGCTCTACATAATATGCTTTCAAATTTAAGCATTAAAAATGTTATGCTCCCTTTATTGGAGCCAAATACGCAAAACTGAAGAGGTTTATATATCTAGTATGTTAATCAATTAGAGCAAAAGGTCTGGACGTTAGCGCTCTTTTGTTATGAATGAATTATAGTTAATTTTAATACTTCAATAAAATGTTTAATAAATTGAGGGTATTTTCTCTTCGACTTCCTTCTCGTTGGACTCGTTGGAAGTTTGTTAAAAGTCGCCAAACGAGTTTTATTGACTCTGACGTAGCCCACAAATTTTTGTTTTGTTTTGTTTAAGGTGCGTTTTGCCGTGTGACGTCACAAACTCAATCATTCGATTAGCAGTGACCGACGGCTAGTAAAATCCACAGATGTGGTATTCAACATCTTTATTAAACTGAGCTGCAATCAAAATTGATTTGCGGCTTTTTCTGTTACGATCTTGCCTTTGTTTTACGTAATTGCCAGCAATTTTCCAGGCATGCACTTGGCAAGCAGAATGCAAAATGCATTTGTTGCCCACGCTGCGTATACTTGATGTTGTTTAAACTATGTTTTTAGTTACAGCACCATAAACAACACTAGCAAATAAATATTCGAATTATATATATATGTACAATATACATATATGTGTGCACGAATTTTCTGCACCATTTGCAATATACGAACAACAAATTTGCCGATGCTAGAAAATATTGTTTTATTTTCTTATTGTGTACAGATTTTGGCATTTTGGCTGTTTGCTAAACGGACTGAAAATCAACTTTGATGGAATGGCAAGCAAAATGAAGTCAATAACTGTTCAGATACATGACCTTAGATGATGATGTGTCTGCTTTTAGCCAAACACACAAATTCATATGTCTGTATATAAATATGGAATTTTTGTGTTTAAATTAGCGCCAGTTTATTGCTTTCATAATTTGCGCTTTGCCGTGGGTCAGAGACACGTTAGATTCTGGGAAATGGACCATAATACAGGTGTAAATACGATATATGTATGTATATAAAAATTTGTGGCCTTATGGATATTAAAGGTGAGCAAGGGAAATACCTATAATAAGACAAATCTTTACTTGCTAACTTTTGTATGTTTGGGAAAAATTTATTTATTTTCATACACCAATTACATATTTTTATATACGATTTTTAAAAATTCAACTACATTTTCAAAATATTGTCTGCAGTTGCCCGGTGCTTACCAAGAGATATCACTACACATCGATCTGTTAAGCGCTGACAAAACTCAACGCTCAGTTTAAGAGTGAACTTCGTCGGCGAGGGTTGTGATTTACAGATGAACTACAATTTTTTTAAATCGAAGGCACACTCGCGACTGTACGAAAGCTTAGATTTGATAATTATACGCGACACGACAGCTGGACAGGCAACTTTTATAAAACAAGAGGCTGCTCATATCTACACACACACACACATACACACACACATGAATAAACAGTGTTATATGTATAAATGCAGTGCAATAAAACAGCAATAGCTTGAGCCTCTTATAAACCGCTTCGATCTATCTATAAATTCACTTTGTGTACGTTATTTCACATGAAAAAAAAAGAAAACAAGATAATTTGGCGCGTTGTTTTTGGCCTTTTGGCGTGACTCAGGCCAGGCGATAAGCAAGTGGTTTCTGTTTAAATTCTTGCCATAAGTGTATAATTATATAATATATGTGGCTGGAGAAAAGTGCACTCATATGGAAAATCAAAATTCAATCACAACGCAAAACAAATAATAATAACAAATAACATTGTCCCGCCGCCGCACGTTTCAATCAAGTTTTAAACAAATAGCCAAACAGAAAACAACAACAAAACACAGCTTTATTAAGGTTAGCAGCAATAAATTAAATAAACAAATCTAACGCGCAGTTTATGCCACACGCTCGACAACAAACCAAAGTTAGCTGTATTACACACTCACACTCACACACACACACACACAAACATATATATATATACATGTGTGTACATTCAACAGCCTCCACATTTCAACTTTAGTTGCAATAGCTAATCTCAAGATTGTAAACAGCAAAACTGATAAATCAACTAAATAGCTTTAATTGCAATGCAATTCTAGGTACAATTTTATTAAAATTTAATCAAAAGCTGTCTTTTGAATTTATTACTACAACTTTTTTAAGAGAATGCATTTACATACTCTTCCGTTGCATTCTATAGTACATATTTATGTCAGATAAGGCTACTCGATAACTGACAATTCGCTGATAACCTCGCTGGTCGGCTCCAATTTATTAGAGAATATCAACTAACAGTATGCGTTATCAATTGCTTGAGCAACAGTTTCTATTCACTTGATAAGATTTTAACTTTGTGAATTCCCACTCAATTTTGATTGTAATGGAATTCGAGTGTTATAGATTTTAGGGGGAGAATCTGGCACTCAGCTATGTTTTAAGAGGGAGAATATAGTACTAGGCTAAAATTTAAGAGAGAAATATAGTACTCAGCTAAGTTTATAGCGGGAAAATATAGTACTCAGCTAAGATTTTAGAGGGAAATTATAGTACTCAGCGAAGATTTTAGAGGCAAAAATAATATAGTACTCAGCTAAGTTTTAGTTTTTTGTTTTTTCTCTCGTTCTAATGGGTCTTTGATCTGGATATAAAGAATTTGTAGAACTCACACGTTCCGTAAAGTGTCCTCAAAGAGAATCAACTATTTATAATTGCGAGTATAACGAGTAGTATACCAAACACAGAGGGAGTATAATTTATTCATACCCCGCACTCGTGCCAATTAATGTATTTATCACAGTTTTTATTGTAAATGTTATGAGTTTGGGTGGGGTTTTGTTTAGTTTGATTTTCTCTCTATAACAATTGGCAGCGTATGTGTTATTATGGTATAATAGGTAGTAGGAATTGCGAACAATTTTTATATGTTGTTACGTAGACCCATATATTGGGAGCTAAGGCTTTCGAGTGATTCATATAGCCCCTAGGGGGTGCCCAAGATTTGTGGAATGCTGCTCTTACTTCAATAAAAAAATTTAATATTTACATTTTGCAGCCTGTCTCCGATAAACAGCTTACAACTCACAGCCAAACCAAGTATAATTTCTAAAAATATACAAAAAGAGATTTTTCTGAACGCGTTTGTCAAAAATTTAAGGAAAGGGAAATCCGTGCTGAAATCTTAGGATAATATATAAAGATGGCACATGCGACTGGCAACGGTAAGTTGAGGAACCTTATAAATACAGTTATAGCTGAATTTGAACTGTTCCAAGATTTGGCTATATCCGCATTGGATCGATGCGAAAAGATTCGACAAACATTTCCAAGGTTGGGCCATGGGCAATACGCAAATATTTAGATAAGCAGTTTGTAAATATTTTTACAAGTGAAAAAAGTTTATAAAAATTGTGTGCTGGCATCTGGAACATTTCGTTTATTTCATTTGCAATCAAAGCGGGTTCTGTTTGGGCCTCGCAATTGAAAAGAACTTGGGAGCAAAAGCCAATAAGGTCTTTAAGGCTTCGGCCATGGCTAATGCTCGTGTATTTATAGACGGAAATAGTTCGATGTTGGCGCTGCCAATGGACACTCAGGGTCAAAACTACTCGAATATCGATTTATCTGCCTACCCCCTCAGATACCCTACCCTTTATACCAGATCCACCCGTTCGGGAACTTTGCATACAATTCGGAACCGTTTTCAGCAATTGACGAAAGCAAACAAACAAACAAAAACATGAATCTCGCACCTTTTGCACGCAATATGAATATAAAGATGTATGTGTATACAATCAGATCAAGTTGTAGACTCATAAATGTATTTGCAGATTTCAATTTAACTAAAATAATAGACAAAGTTTATCTTTTATGAGCAAAAGAACAGCAGCTATAAGAAAAATAAACATTGTTTTTTTTTTAGTGAAAAGTAGTTAGAGCTAGAAATAGAATAATGTTGTTGGGTATATACGACTGTGCATTGGCCTTCATCGCTCAAATTTTAAATTACGTTTGAGATACTTTCAAAACGCTTTTTAAATTGTATCTCTAACCGAGAGCTTATCAATCGATCGACTGGACGGACGTGCCTCAAGTCACGCATATGCCGAATAGAGCTCGAAGCATTGTCAGACACAGAAAGATAGAGAGAGAGTAAGAGAGAGAGAGAGAGGGAGAGAGAGAGAGAGAGAGAGAGAGAGGGAGAGAGAGAGAGAGAGAGATAGACGCAGTAAGAGAGAGAGAGAGAGAGCGAGCCAGAAAAGTTGAATTGATTGAATTGTGAAAAGTTTTATCGCAATATAATCAAACGCTGCGGCTTGTGGGCATCGCGTGAGAATTTTCTTCTTTTTTTTTTGCCGTTTGCCATTAGAATGAAATTTTTCTAGCGATACAAATTTGTGTTTGCCTGTCTGGTTTTTGGCAGATTGTAAATGCTTTTGGTATCTGGTTTTTCTTTTTGGGCGTTATATGCGCTAGACTGCGAACTTCTAAGGCGTTCTGTTTGCACGAACACATTTTCGTTTGATTGTCCCGGCAAAGAAATGAAAATGAAAATCGATTTCGTGTTAATTGTATTTGATGTACATTTTAGACGTTGGCACTTGGCACTTTTTGGCCTTTGTAATTCGAAGTTGGGGCCATGCTGGAAATTGCATTCTACATACAGGCTGGTAATTGAATTAATTGCTTTTTAATTAGTTTTGCGCACGGGAAAAATATGTGCAAATATGTTTATAAAAAATTCTACAAAAACTTTACGATAATATCGGCAATAGGTGTAGTTATTTATAGCACCTGTTCCAGTTTTTGCCCACTACACAACACGTTTCTCAGTCAAACTGACTCATAGATAGCCAAGTTCAAAGCCCATCGAATTGGGCTATTCCAAAATCTGTAGCACTTACCCAACTGGCTCATGTCCACCTCTCACCCATGCTTATCTCAACAGGCGAACTGATAGGAAAGTGCTTGTGTTCATTCTTTGACAACAACTTGGACTTTCCCACAGCATAATCAAGCTGGCCAGGCATATCAGCCTGCTTTTTCTTTACAATCATAATCATATTAAAATTGAATTTTTTAACAACATTTCGTTAGGTTTGAGCTGCACGTAAATTTGTTTGTGCCGCGGCTCGTGTCAATTTAATTACTAACGCGGGTAAAAACATGAAATCAAATTAAATTGAAATCAACAAACAAAATATTTACATTTTTAGAACCTGAAGTTAAGTGCTGTGTGAAAAGAATCAAAATATGTTGACAAATTAGTTTATTGATTAATACGCTTTTTTTATTAAATTTTTATCTGGGTATTATTTATCTTTTAACGTCGCAAAACGTTGCCAATCCCTTGAGCTAATATCAACAATAATTGAATGCAGTAACATTAAAAAGTTTCGAATATTTTTGCTGTAAGCAGAGAACTGAAGGCCAATGGCAACTATCAACTAGCTGTGTCATCGATATAGTCAGCCGAACAATATCATAAATTCAGAATCTATTGATTTTCACACACAAAACCAAACAAACACACACACACACACACCCACAACACACAACATGCTAGACAGACAGCACTTAAAAAGAGTCCAGCTAAATGATTGTGTGACAGGCTGTTGCAAAGTATTCTCGCACAGATTTTCGGCTGCTTGATTTTTATTTTGAATTTATATATCCCAATATATATATATATATTCCAAACGAAAATTGGTCTTAAATTTGCACACACGTACACACATGCCGGCGCGCATGCACGCACACACATGTCGGCTTATGGCAAACTTTCGTTTAAGTACTTGAGGTGCGAATGGGAATGGCAATGTCCTCCACTTCGTCCTCCATGTGCTCCTCCTAAAGTTCGTGCCTGTCCTCGTCATCGTGTCTCTGTGTTTGATGTAGAGCTTATAAAGCGCAACTGGTGTGTGTGTGTGTGTGCCTGGGTGTGATTAGGCCATCATTTCGAGTGAAGTGGAGTGGAGCGTGTGGATTTGGTAATTTTTGGGGCGCTGCTCTGGCCCAGGTCCATTGCCAGCCTGGTTCGGGTCGAATGCTTTCATTTTCTCTATTTAGCTGTGTTTATTTTCGCTTCAGAACGCGATTTTCCAATCGATTGAACACATGACAAGCCGCAGCTACAGTAGTCTGAGTACATATATGTACACATACATATACCTATACACATATATGTATGCATGTGAGTATAGCCTAGTGCCCCACAAAAGGCTCTCACATATGGCAACGGCTGGAGCCTGGTTTCCACAGACCAAATGTTATTTTGGGGCTTGTAATTCAAAACTCTGCGGTAAATGGAAACCGCCTACTTTTCTCCACTTTCGCCATGACAAATTCGTCTGGCGTTGATTTCTATTCTATTTTTGATCGTATTTAATTACCATTTTATTCAGCTTTTCTATTTTGTTGTTGTTGTTGTTGTTTTTTCTTTCTTTTCGGGGCGACATCCTTTTTGATGGTGTCTTCACTTCTGCATTTATTTACGCATCAATTTGTAGCGCTGATTTATGTCGCCGGCCCCAACGATAGGAAAAACCAAAGACAAAGCAAGTGAGAAGGATCCACTCTAGATTGCTTGAACTGGATATACCCTATAATTTTCTAAATCCCCCGCATGCGTGCACATGCATATGGAAAACCGAAAAAATAAATTAAAATAAGTTACCGAAAATAAATCAAAATTCTACAATATCCTCTTTACGAACACCTTAAAGTTACAGAGTATGCAAAACCGAAAGAAGCTTTGCCTAAATGGAAATTAAATTAGCCCAAGCAAAGATCTAGTCAAGACTGCTCGACTGGCTTTACCCTATAATTTTGTGTGTTTAACAAAAATGTAAATTAATATTGATAAAAATATAAAATAAATTAAAAATATATTTAATATGCCTTTTTACGAGCAACTTATAAACGCACACTCGAAAAAAATAAATTAAATTGAATAACCGAAAATATTTAATACTCCCCTTTATGAGCAGCTTGTAGCTACAGGGTATGCAAAACCAAAAAAACTTTGCCTAAATGCGAATTAAATTTTGTTTCACTCACCAAGTGCCACGCGGGCTGTCTTAAAGTATTAGCAGCTCAGTCAATGCTCGGGGAATAGGCGAGAGGATGCGGGGAATGGGGGCTGGCAGCAGGACCTGCTGTCTCTGTCTGCCTGGATGAGCGCAGCAATTGGGCCCTCCGTGTAGGGCGTTTAATTAAATAAAAAATGTACACTGACTAACAGTCAAAGTAAAGCGCAGATTTTTAATTGGAATTTAAAATGTTGAGCTCTTACGAAATCTGGCATTAAGCAAGAGTCTATGCCAGTCTACGCTGCGTTGACATTCTTAGAAGGTTATAGATTATATAAATATATTATTGTTACGCTTTCTCGTATCGATTTAACAACACTCGCAGTAACCTGTGCTATCCTACCTGTGCGTAATTCGCGCATGAAATCCAAATCCTGCTCAAGCTGCGCTCCTACGTCAATGCTGATTATATATAGAATATAGTTAGGTCAGGTAGCTGATTACGAGAGCAAAATAAAACGCAAAAACTCTTCTCCTACATCCTGTTGCTCAGTGTTATTGACAGCGAGCGAGCAAAGGACAACGGACAATGAACCACCCGACGAATCACTTACTAAAAACTTCCTGATGTCACTCGACCCACCCCACCTAGTCGACCCACATTCGGGATGGACTGGCCCGAAATGCAGACCCGTAAAACGTGTTCTACGTAAACACGCCGGACACAATCCCCGGGGTGTGAATTGCAAGCGTTGAAAACAAGTCTCGTGTACAAATTGTTGTTGCAATCTTTCAAAATGTAAACAAAATTAACATATGCAAATATCTCACTCAGTTCGACCCATACGTGTGCTGGGCATATGGACAAGTTGCCCGTTCGAGTCCTCCTCCTCCGGAGCCTCGGCTGCCGTCTCCACAGTTCGGAAAGTGTTGAATTATCTGCAGCAAATGCAAATGTCGACGGGGCATGTGCTGCAATGGGCATCCTGTTTTGCCATTGTCAGCCATACCAAGTGCTATTTAATATGCTATTATTATGCAACAAAATAGTAACCTTGATAACCATATAAGCAACCGGTTTCATAGTGTGTCTATAGACAGACAGATACAATAAATATGAACGGGAAAAGGTGTGCAGAAGCGGAAACTGGGCTGTGTGGCATATGCTTAGCATATTTTACACATTGCAAGGACTACGGCTAATAAACTACTGCAACTGACGGCATTTGAGTTATGAGCTTGCAACATTATAAAATATACTTCGTCTCTTTCAGAAAATATTAATATTTGAAAAATCTACTCAAATGGTGTCAGAAAGCCCGCGTGCAGGTACAACTGCCTTAACATATATTTATTTATTATGGATTTGGAAATATGCATGCTTATAAATATGTAACATATTTACTCACAAGTGTCCATATGGAGAAGCCATTTTTTAATTGCTATTTATAAGTAGGAGGAAGTCAGACTTTTATAAAAAAGGAAGGAAAAGAAAAGGGGCCATTGCCAACAAGCGCCAAAATAATTATTATTATATAATATTTTTAATTTAAAATTAAAATTATGTGTGCCAATACTTTTGTGCCAGGAAAATGTGCCACTTTGTATGTAAATAATTCAATAAAATTACTTTTATGTTTTTGTTAGAAAACTTTAAGTGATTTTTGTAGGAAATTAACTGGTTTATACAGGAAAATGATTTCGAATGGTTATTACTTTAAAAGCTCGCGAAAGTGGTGCAAAGTAAAAAATGTTTGCTGTGCAAATTCTTATGTGGGTGTCTGTATGTATAAATAAAATAAAAATTTAAGTAAATTGGAGAGAAGAGAACTTAGTTCTCCGAATATCAAATAGATTGAGACGAATCACATAATAAATACACTAATTTGATGGGTGAGCCCCCGGGGCATATTTGCGAATTTGTTTACAGATAATTTTAAATAGATGCCTCTAACATACATAAATACTTAATTTAAATAAATATCGAGAAACTCTAAAAGTTGTTTGTCATGTAAATATATAAATATTCTGCTGAGGGGAAATACCGGCGAAAACTTTTTATTGATTTATAATAAGAAACAATTATTTGGGCTTTGGCTGTGTTACTTCACTTTGAAAAGCAATCAATCATAGAAAAGTCTATCTCACAAACTTTTTCCTGAAATATATTTATAGAAATATGTAAATATACCCATAAATATAAAAGACATAGAAAATCATTTAAGCTTTTGCCTATCCTAGCACAAGTATTATTAAATAAATGTATTCAAGATAAAAGTATACAATGTACACAGATGTGCATGTAATCAATCCTGAAGCCCAATAAAGTGCTTGTCTTTGGATATACTATGCTAGCCATATTCAGATGCACAGTTTATGATAATCCATCATTATTTTAATTTGCAGGCAATCAACATCAAATGGCTGAGGACGAACTCTTTGGCGATTTGCGTATGTATAAACGTGGCTAAGTGCTGCTAATAACCAACTACAGCTACGATTATGGTCTGAATAAGTATAAACATGCGGCTTTAGCATAAATGTGGGCTGCTGATGAATAATTGCCACAATAACTCAATCGGCAGCAGGCTTCATTAGCCTTTCAATTGGTTGGCCAGTTTCGCGTCTGGCATTTTTAGTGGCCACATTTAATCCCAGCCAAAAGCCAATTGTAGTTGTACTTGTACATAATTGTAGTTATAGTTGTTGTTTGTGGTGAAAACAAACAACAAAACAAAACTAGAAAGAAGGGCTATCTTCGGCACGCCGAAGATTCAATACGCTTGCAGACCCAACCTTTTCATAATGCTAATAAGGGATTGTCCGTATCTAAGAAGCACAGGGAAAATAGTTATTGCTGGGTATGGTTACGATATCTTGAAAAACAAAAAACTTCTATGCAAAAACCTAGTTTTTAACCGATTGTTCCAATGGCAGCTATATGATAGTAGTAGTAGTGCGATGTCAATAAGATTTTGCTTAAATATAGGGAACATGGCGAAACTAATAAATTGTAAGTTTGGTCAAGATATTTGTCAAAATATCTTGAACAAGAAAAAAGTTTTTCATACAAGAATCTACCATTCGACCGATCGTTCCCATGGCAGGTATATGATATATTGTTCCGATCCAGCTGGCTGCGATATATGCAACTGTGTGCAACAGAAAGACGGAAATTATGCCAAGTTTCATGACGACAGCTTTTAAACTGAGCTACTAGTTCACATAATAAACAGACAGAGGGATAGACGGACATGTCGACTCGGCTGTTGATACTGACCAAGAATCTGAGATGTCTCCTTCTATGCATTACATATTTCACAACAAAATTATAACACCCTCTGCAGGGGTATAAAAAATGAAAATATATGGCAAAAATGAGTCGTGCCCTGTTTTTGTTACGCCACATTTGACGTCAGACGTTAACATCTGGCCGGGGCTGGAATACCATGCCATAGCACAATCCTCCTCCCCTTGGAGGAGCATAACAATAGCTCTGATAGATAGCACACCGCACTTTAATGCCGCACATATGCATAATTCATAAATAAAGCTGACACGTATGCCTTAGATACATGCCACAGACGTTCTATGTACTCGGACTTTTTGCTGGATTGTTTCTGGCATTCCGGAAAATTGCTACAACAATTTGCCATATTGATTTTTTGCTAATGACAACTCTTTTCACTTGATACCCCCACCCGTATAGAGGAGATTCTTAATGCCGGCTCTGAACAGAACGCGCCGCCCATGCCGCAGACCTTCCCACAGTCCGCCTCGCTGCCCGTAATGCCGTCCCATATACCGTTGTCCGTGCCGGCGGCGTCGACTGCCCAACGGCGACCCTATATTCGCATTGTCGAGGAGCCCACCAACAAAATCATTCGTTTTCGCTATAAGTGTGAGGGTCGCACGGCTGGATCCATAGCCGGTATGAACTCAACGCCGGAGGCAAAAACCTTTCCCACCATCGAGATTGTCGACTACAGCGGACCCGTTGTTGTCGTCGTTTCTTGCGTCACCCGGGACAAGCCCTATCGCCAGCACCCGCACTGGCTGGTCAGCAAGGAGGAGGTCGATAACTGCAAGAGCGGCGTTTACAGCAAGCGCCTGCCGCCCGAGGAGCGCCGCCTGGAGCTGCAGAAAGTGGGCATCCAGTGCGTCAAGAAGACGGATGTGCGCGAATCCCTGCTGGCACGCGAGCAGAAGAACATTGATCCGTATCACGGTGAGTAGCACAATTAACAAGGGAAGCTTAAATTCAGCTCATTTGACATTTGATTACCTTGCAGCCAAGTTCGATCATAAAGACAATATAAGCAGCATCAATCTGTACGAGCTGCGTCTGTGCTACCAGGCCTTCATCAAGGTGGGCAACAACAATGTGCCGCTCGATCCGGTCGTCTCCTCGCCGATCTACGGCAAGAGCAATGAGCTGACCATTAATCGGTTGTGCAGCTGCTCGTCCAAGTTGAGTGGCGGCGATCAGATCATAATGTTGTGTGAGAAGATATCCAAGGATGACATAAGGATACGCTTCTTCGAGACCAACGAGGCAGGCGTCGAAATCTGGGAAGCCTACGCCGATTTTCAGCCCACGGATATCTACAAGCAGACGGCCATAGTCTTCAGGACGCCACGTTATCGCAATCCCGAGATCCAACACAGCGTGCAGGTGGGCTTATGCGAAGGTCCCTTAGCAGCAATTAATATTTATGGTACGTTTTGCAGGTGGAGTTACAACTGGAGCGACCATCGGATCGGGCGACGAGCGCCGCGCTACCGTTCGAGTACTATCCCAATCCAGGTATGCTAACTTTTGCGCGTCTACAGCGCAAGCTGAAGCGCAAACAGGAGCTGGACGTCTTCCAGCAGATACTTTCTCTAGATAGCGAGACCACGGCCACGAAATATTCGTGCCCGCCGTTGGATCTCAACGAGGACGAAAACACCGTCTCTTCGGACGAACAGCAGAGCTCGGGCACGCTCAACGATTTCGAGATTGCGGTCAAAAAGCTGCAGCTGCGGCAGCGCGTCGAGTCCGAGGCCAACGAGGCGGATGCCACAGTTACCGAATACACCGATGGCCTGGACAATGACAACGATCAGGAGCCGGACATGGAGATCGAGCTGGAAGTGCCACAGCTTCTGCCCCAACTGGCCGATGACTGCACTCAGACATCCACGCCCATGGAGGAAATACTACAGCAGCCGCAGCTGCAGTCGCGGCCCTTGAGCAACGTGGACAAAATTAACGAGTGGATGCGCAGCAGCGAGTTTGAGCGCACCGATAGCCTCACCGTCGAAAACGGCGACACGCCCACGCTCTCCCACAGCACGGCCCAGACAGCCTTCACCAATGTAAGCAGCCTGACCGCCAACACGACCATAACGAACCAACTGATCGATGACGAAGACAAGCTCCTGCCGGGCGATGGCAGCGCCTCGCGCCGCGACACGCTGGAAAATGCTGCGCTCAAGGAGTTACCCGTGGGCGAGGAGATGCCGCCAGAGGGTGGCGTAGCCGCTGAGCCGGTGAGTGCCAGTGCCCAGGTCTCGGTGGACATTGACGAGAATTTCGATGAGACTGCGACATATACGAGTCTGCAGATCGCATACAACCATCCTGTCGAGATGCCTCAGAGCCAGATTTATCATGCCTCCAATCCGTTTAGCCAGCTGGACGAGGCGGAGCTCGTGGTGCTAACCAATCCGCCAGCGCCAAGGATTAGAGTGAACGCCGCCCAAACGCCAGCTACGCCACCCTCACCGCCTTTGCCGCTGCCACCGCGTACCCCTTCGCCGGATCCGGAACAGCGGCTGCCTCCGTTGCCGCCCAAGCCGCGCAATTCCCAAGATTTGAGCGTCAGCGAGCATAGCGTCTCTAATTCCGTGTCGTTGAGTCGGTCGCGCAACGGCAGCGTCAGCTCCACGCGCACCACGCCTTCGCCCATTATTATTATGCGCACACCCGACCAGAGCTCCACCAAGCGGCTGCCCACGACCACGCCCAGCAGCTCGACATCGTCATCCGCATCGCCCAAGAAACGCCAGGGCTTCTTCTCGCGCTTGTTTTCGCGCCGTCGCAGCCGGACCGAGGACGAGGGGACGCTCACGACCAAACAGCAGGAGCTCAGTTCACGGGCAACCACGCCCACGGGCAGCCGTGAGCCAAGCCTGGCACAGTTTGCTTTGGGCGATCCGAATCGCAGCTCAGTTCGATCTCTGCAACCGCCCGGCTCGAGTCCTTTGCGCGGTGGCCGCCCGGTGGGTCGCAGCTCCAGCAGCGTCTCGGGCAAGCGGCCCGCACACTTGGATGCGGATGTCATTCACATACCACTAAAAGGCGGCGACAGCGAGAACAGTTTGTTGCGTCCGGAGAGCTACTCGAGTGCCAGCACACTTACCTACGGCAGGCCGCTGGATCGCAAGACGCTGAGCACGCTCCAGCTGGCGGATATACCAATCAGTGATGGCAACATGGAGTTGGTGGCCATTGCCGATCGCCAAAGCATCAGGAATCTGTGCGAGGGCGCTTACGGCGTCGTCCTCGATCCCAGCGTCGACCTCTCCGAGGCAGAGCATTTTGCGCTTTACACGAGCAAATCGCCGGAGCCGGAGCGCGAGATTGTGGGGGGCGGCGGCGGCGGAGGGGAGCCGGAAGTCGCGGACTTTCTGAGTGCCGATGAGATTGCACGCCGTCTGGCCGAGGCCAACGGGCTGCAGTAGACCGGGAGTCGGGATGCACACACAATTTAAACGTTAAATACAACTTTTGTCTAGTCGTCTTTTCTTTCAGTATTATATATATGACATATATGCGTGTACCTCTAGTCTATGCACAGTTAATCTCACAACCACCTCCCAATTGTCTTTGTAGATGCTTTGGCCCAGAAATGCCGCCTCGATGCGCGCAAAGCCACCGAAAGTGTCAAGCGCAAGCTGTCCGGCATTATGCAGCAGACTCAGAATCACAAACAGTCGAAAATGTTATGTAAGTCAGCAGCTATTGATATGCGGTGTTGGGTTCCAAGTACTCCTTCACGAACTTCCATTAATACATGTATCAAAAAAAAACATTACATCCAGCTGAAGCAAAGTTCCTATGCTCACACACACATTTGCGATTCACACGAATTTGTCCCTCAACGTTGAAAGTTTTATATAACATAAACATATTCACATGCTAGTCTCTTCGTTTAGTAGCAGACACAAAGCCCCTTGGTGGACCAATCGTTTTTGAAATTTGTAGAAAGCGGATGCCTATTCTGGTAATCTGTTGATTTCTTGTTGCCTCGTATTATACAAATATATACCATATATATATCTATATATATAAATATGAACAACACCTTAATACCTGTGTGTTATTAAATTGAATAAATAAAGTTTTTGCTAAAATCTGCAAAGATCTGTCGAACTGAGTCGTGAATGTTTATCACAGCTTTTCTAAAATGAGCGAAGATCATAAGTTGTCAATATTTTACCTAACTTCTAATTGTCCGTTAAGTTAGAACTATCTTATACTAAGAATAACAAATAATTATTCAAATGGTATACCCCTCATCTTTTTTATATATAATACTATTGACGGACTGACTGATTGGTGATCACCGCACAGCCCAACCGTGAGAACTGAAATGTTAGATTGTATTTATGCAAACAAGTATACATACATCCATACATACACACATACATACATACATACATACATACATACTTACATACAAAACATACTCACCCCTGACTTTATCGCCAACCCACTTGCCAGGCACTAACTAAAAGTGCATCAAAAACTGACGAGCCTACTTAAATTCTTGAGAATCGAGGAGGAGAGCACTTGGCAGAAATTCTTTATATTTAACTATGCAGCACAGCGTCAAATAATTTTATGTATACACACATACACATACATACATACACACACATACACACACATACACACACACACACACACACACACATACATACATACATACATACATACATACATACATACATACATACATACATACATACATACATACATACATACATACATACATACATACATACATACATACATACATACATACATACATACATACATACATACATACATACATACAAAAAATACTCACCCCTGACTTTATCGCCAACCCACTTGCCAGGCACTAACTGAAAGTGCATCAAAAACTGACGAGCCTACTTAAATTCTTGAGAATCGAGGAGGAGAGCACTTGGTAGAAATTCTTTATATTTAACTATGCAGCACAGCGTCAAATAATTTTTGTCTGCGTTTCGTATTAGAAAACAAACATACATTCATAATCGTATACATACATGCATGCATACACTAACACACGCGCCCACACACATACATACACACATATATATATAATACCTATGATATACCCACCCCCATAACGTGGTCAAATTTCATCCGATTTTTACGAGGTTTAAGTTTTTGCTCATTATTCTTAGTCAAAATGCAAGTGAAATATCCTATAGGCATGGGTCAATATAATAATACGTAGAAAGGTAATCTAATTTTCTGATACGAAACGTACAAATGTACGTTTGTCTCCTCAATAAAGCCTAGTTTGTTTTTAACATGATACGAATCGAGTCTTGACAATATATCTATATACCTTCAGCCATTTAGCATTGCTAAAAGACTTCGGCTAGCCGAAGATGTGATATTATATTGTCTCCCGTTCAGTTTAGCTAGCCAAAGAATCGCAACAGCTGCTTCTGACTCAAGTCTTTGGTCAAGTAAGTTGTCAAATCAATGAAAATATCGTTGTTGTTGAAGTTGTTGTTGTGTGACCTTTTAAGTTCTGCCACAAGTTGCTTGGTTGTCCTTATATTTTCGCATTGTTGTTGTTGTAATGCATGTTCACTTTTAAATGCTTAGTTTCTATAGCGCTCATAAACGCGACTGTAAGCGAAAGTTTTGCCTTGTTATTGACAGTTTTCCTAATGAACGTTTTCCGATATCTTGCAGCAACCCAGCCGCTGGGCGTGGCACCAGGACAGTCTCTGCTTATGACGCCCATGAGCAGCTACAATGGGCACAGTCCCAGCCCGACTGGCAGCTATGTGCCAGAGATCAAAGCCGAACAGCTGCTCTATGAAATGGACAGCACACGGAACTGCCCCTCGGCGGCCAGTTCGTATAATAACGCCTACAACTTTCCCGCCTCGCCCACCTCCAGCTGCAGCACAGCGGACAGCATTGCGCCGGCGACGGCGCTGCAGCAACAATTGCACAAGCTGCCCAGTCCGGGCCAGCAGCAGGAGCAGCTGCTGCAAATGCTCAATCAGCAGACACAGCAGGAGAACATGAACATCACGATAAGCGTCAACAACGGATCCGGCAATTGGAACACAACCACGATGTTCAACGGCGGCAGCATAACGCCCACCAGCTTCAACAACAACAACAACCACAACAATGGTTACAGCAATAACCAAAATGTGTTTAGTGCCACGAGTCCAGCATATGCAACGAATTGCCTGCCCTTTCAGCAGGAAGTCAAATTTCAGGCTTCGCCTCAGCTCCTGGTGCATCCGCCTCCGCCGCCTGCACCTCAACCTCAGCTGGAGGAGAATCAGTCCTTTAGCGATCTGATACTGAGCACATTAATGGATGATACAGCCATAGAGCACATCGATCCGAATGATATAATCAGGGACTTGCAGGCGACGCTCAGCAATCTGGAGATGGCGAACAATCAGAATAGAAATGATAATACATATGTATAGTATATATGTATATATGTTACGTGTATATTCGCAGAGCCAGTTGTACATAGATATTTGGCTATTTAGATATAGTTGCCACAAGCTTGAATCTCATTTCGTATGCTCCGAAAATGTTGCGAATTGTTGTTGTGAAATATATGAAGACCATAAATTTTAGATTGTACATTAAATTCCATAATTTGGGGAATGTTTATACGTAAATATAACTACCAGGAATACTCAATAGGTAAATATGTGTACGTTTAACGACAGAAATAGGGCTGGCCGAGGTTCGTATTGTTCTCGCTGCGCATGCCGGCAAAGAAACGTTTGATGTCCTCCTCGGTGACAACTGTTTTGTTGGCGGCAAATGATTGCAGGAACTCCTTTAGCTTGTCGCCCATGCGATTGTATTCGGTGATCACGTCGATTTGCTTGGTGCGATCAATGGAGGCAAGGGCGCGTATTCCCTGCTCATAGCTGGAGTTCTCCTGGACGCGCTTCATGCCGCGCTCCTCGTAATCCTTGACTGAGTCTTCGGCATCCAGCAGAAACTCCACAGACTGCCGTTTGTACATATCCAAGCACTTGTCACACTTGCATAAAGATTTTCGCCAGTCATTGGCCCAGAAGGCGGCGCCTGTTTAGAGAAATCACTTTAGTTCAGGTTTATATACGTGTTGGATTCCTGATACGAGTCCTAGCCTAGTCGACGGGGCCACACAAATCCATAAAACTAGAATATTTTGAGTACGGTTTAAATTGAGCAGCTAACATGAACGTTGAGTACTTTTCGGAAGGGCTGGAATGCCTAATGTATTGCGGCCGCAAGTTGTCGCCGGAGCAGCGTATACTTATTGAGAATTCGCTGATTGTGCTGCTACAGGAGAATCGTTTCTCGGGCATGTATTTCTGGGGACGCATTACGGCCACCAAGAACGATTACTATATTGCCTTTGGCTATACAAACGATTGCTTAAAGGATCGCAAGTACTTCTACAGTTTGGATCAGTATCAATGGCAGCTATTGCCCTTTGTGCAGAGCCCGAAAATCTTTCAGGCCACAATCCTAGCGCCCGATCCGTTTGTCGGGGATCCCAGTCTGCAGACCTATGTCAAGCTGGTGAGTATCCAACCGAAGATAACATTTCTGGCTTGAGTACTAATTTCGACTGTTTCAGGATCCGACATTTAATATTGTGGACAATCAGGTGGTAAGCATCAGTCGCCCGGAGGTGATCAAGCTCAAGGAAGAGGAACGCCTGGCTGCCATAGTGTTTATCATAAGCGAGGAGAGCGCAATTTGTCCACGCGGTGCACTCTACAAGATGGTCGATGGTCGTGTCATACCAAATCAAATGTTCCGCGGCCTAAACGATTTGCAAATCGACAATCTATCCTACTACCAGCTATATCGACTGCCGCGTAACGATCTAAAGACAAATCTGTCGAAGCGCAGCGATTACAACTATGCCATTGATTTTCTGGATACTATCGATGGTGTTATACCGCTCGGCCAAGCCTTTTCGCTGAACATGCAGCGCAACGAGCGCATCGCAATCATCAAGTCTTGCGTCTGGCTCGGCATGACCTTCTTCCACAAGCTCAACTCGCGCAAGCATGGCTTCCTCTATCTGGGCGACGGGCGCAAGAACTTTGATTTGCTCTTTATGTATTGAAATACCAATATATATTTTTTCAGTTGCTGGCATAAACCAACTATTGCGTAGGGAATAGCTTTTAATCTAGCATGCACTCACCTGTATGGTCCGTTGGGATTTTGGGTCGACGACAATTCTCGTCGGCTGACAATTTGATGCGCTTCTCAGCCGGCTCCTCGGACTGCTGATCGCTCGCAGCCGGCTGGCAGTTAGCTACATTGACCTCTGCTGTGGACTCCTTCTTCTCGCTGTGTGGCTGCAGTGCCAGGCCCGTGTAGTCGCGCAGGAACTCGTGACGTTCCATGCAAGCGTCGCAGATCATTTCGCTGCACGCATCTAGCCATTTTTCGGAGACGGTCGGCGCCTGCATGTGCTGCAGATGGAACCAGTCCTCGCAGATGGCGCACTGCAGCATTACCTC